TGTCAATGACACCAGTATTATAGAAATTAGAAGTTGAAGTGAATCACTGTAGGGAAGCTTTATCGGAAGGATCGACAGTGTGCCAAAATCAGACAGCTGGCAGACGTGAATGCGATGTGACAGTTGCTGTTCAACCGTCCCATGACGTATGTCCTTCACTGTCCAATTTCCCCGTACAGTTAGAAATGGCGCCGACAGGTGTCAAGAAAATTATTATCAATCAATAACATATAATTATGAGTGAATGCTGCAAAAGTGTTAATAGATGTCAGCATTTACGGGGAACTGACAGGGTAGGATTCCATCCGAAAAGGGGCCAATGATTAGTGACATCCACCTCTTGCGGCACGGGCTGCAGGAGAAAGGCTATTGAGCAGCCCTCGAAATGAGGAACTATATATAGCCTAGCCTGACTCTTCTTTCATAATATGACAGCATAAACTTTGCGATCTGGCAACGAGATCCGTGAGACGCGGCACAATGGGCTCGGCAAACATGGGCCTTCCGCGAATTCTTTCAGCAGTGCTAGTACTGTTGCTTCGTCTCACTGCCGCGATTCCAAGTTGCATGAAGACGTACGATGTGCCGAATGTCTGGCAAAATGGATCCATAACAGCTGAGTTTGTGTCGGTGCCTGGAAACCTAGATGGACAGAAAATCTATCCCGGCCCTAATAGGACGGCCTATGACTGGTGAGATCAGGTGTATTGTGGTGTTCGTTCGGTATGAGCTTACCGAACAAATAGGTTCTATTTTGACGCAGTTTCTTCGGGCAATATGTCTATTGAAATTGTGTTCTATGAGTTTGGACCGGAATCTCTGGGTTATACTGGAGCCGAACAGCTCGGTGCTGCAGCAATCATCGTTTGGGCGAGTTTTGACAACGGTACCTCAGTTCAGCTCCCCGTCCCAGCTGATCCGTCGCTCGAATCAGCTGTACACATCGAAGTCGGATCGGCAGGTGTACGTGGCGATTGGAAATCAACAGGTGCAAAGTTCGAAGGTTCAAGTATTGAGGGAGGGAGTCATGCGCTTTACACTGTCACGGTGGACAATGATGCGATCGGTGCGCATGGAACTCTAAGTCTCAAATCGGTAAGCTGCAAAGCTCCTTCAACGCTGGCCGCCATGTTTTTTGAGACGATAGAATTAACTGAGAAATTACAGAGATCCCCGGCCCACTACCCTTGTGGGCTTAATGAACCTGGCCAGAATGAGGAAGTCTGCCCGGGTGTTGGCTGGAGTAATGCGGTCCCGGACGCATACGCCATCGCGGACTTCACCGTCGGAGGAGAGCCAATAAAATTCACTGGTACCGGTTACCATGATAAGAACTGGGGGGTGACTCCTTTCGCAGATCACGTTCAGTCGTGGTATTGGGGTCACGGTCACTTCGGACCTTATTCGATCGTTTGGTTCGACACTCGCGGTACGGATACATTTGAGTATTTCTCTGCATATGTTGCCAAAGATGGAAAAGTCTTGAGCTCGACTTGCAAACCTGGATCAGTTCTTGTACGGCCTTACGGAACGAATGACGAATACCCACCTACACCGGAAGATGGTAACCCCGATGGATACACTATCCAGTTCGACCTAGGAGATGAGGGAACATTGCAAGTCAACGCCACAATAGAGGCTGTAGTAGCTGCCATGTCTAGAGGCACATACGGCAGATATGTTGGCACTGTCTCTGGTGGGTTAGTAGACCAAGAGACTTTCACCGGAAGAGCTCTCTTCGAGCAGTTCATGTACCCCCTTTGAAAGGCTAGCTTGCTTCGTCGACGTCTTTATAGTTATAATCCGGGACACCTGACTAATAGAAGTGCCTTCTATCTATAATGTGCAGGTGTGTTCTACAATCATCACGATTGCGTAGCAATCAAGTGCACTTTCAAAGATGTTTTGGGTGGAGGCTCCAATTTATGACGAATTTTCGGCGACAAATCATCGACAGCCGGGCAGAGAATGTCATAATCCAAGACAATGGGTAGCGTGTGAGTCGCATCTGGAGCTAGCTTGTAGAAGCTTATATGGTGCAATGTATTCTACTAGGTGTAATTGTAGACACCCGATTACGGGGAGCGGATCTCAGCATTCGTGACTTCAGGTCAAACTCACTACATCCCACCCCTTGAATGATTCTCCGAAGTGCCGAAAGTCAGCGAATCACCGTAAAAGCCTTTCCCCGCATCACGAGCCCATACAAGTAAAGTTGGAGATTCTTGCAGATTTTACCAATAAGATCGGTGATTGACACGGGTGAGATCGCTGGGCAATGCTTGAGTACGCCTCCGCGCATGACCCCAAAAGTCTAGGATCCTACCACGAATTAGCCGTGTCGGCAGTTGAGAAAAAGGTCTTTGCGCTTCAACGGCACCATGAATAAGAGAATTGTAAGCGTTGCAGCATAGATAATTTCGCTAGCGTGCTATTTACTGTATGTAGGGAGCCTCGGTTTCAGCAATTTTGTAAAATGGTGCGCACAGAGCAGGTAAGGGAATATTAAAACCAGGGTTCCCCAAAGAATTTTATCCTGCCTCTTTGTCCATGGAAGTCCCAGTGCTCGGCGAGCCTTCTAAATCAAGATGGCAGACACTAAGCCGTTGTCTATCTCAGAGCAAGAGCCTGACACAACTCAGCATCTGGAAAAGCGGGCAGATGGAATTCACGAATACCAAGAGAGCGAAGGATACATTATCGACACTGAAGAGACTGGTGCAACTGGGCTCAAGCTAGCAAAGGATGGACGGACTCGCCTCATCCCCCAGCCGAGTGATGACCCGCACGACCCTCTGAATTGGAGTTGGGTCAAGAAACATTGTATTCTTTTCATTGTTGCATTTGCGGCTTTCCTCCCTGACTATGGAAGCGCTACTGGTGCGGTGACTCTCATTCCGCAAGCCGAGTGAGTCATACAACGAATACCTAAGGGATATTACTAAAGCTCTTACTTCTTCAGAGAGTGGCACATGACACCAGATGAGGTTAATCACAGTCAAGCTGGAAATGTATTCATGCTCGGAGCAGGTGGAATCTTCAGTATGCCTCCTCGAAATACTATTATCAGATGGCAAGTGATTCACTAATCTACGTCACAGTTGTCATTTTCTCTGCTTACTTCGGCCGCCTTCCGGTCTTGTTCTATTTCCTTGTGATAGCCCTTGCAACTGCTGCGTGGTGTGCCGGAGCAACAAGCTTCGAGTCCTTCATGGCGGCACGTATCCTCAATGGGTTCTTCTCAACGGTCTCACAGGTTGGTGGCTTGATGTTCATTCAAGACATGTTCTTCTTTCACGAGCGGGCTCGAAAGATCAATATCTGGGCGTAAGTTGCTCCATGCCTAGCTCATGCCTCCGAAAGTGAGCTTGTTGATCAATGTATACTAATTGTCATATGTCGAACCAGATCATTCTTTGTCATCAGCCCCTATATGGGACCTCTCCTCGCCGCTTTCATCACAGCATTCAAGCCGTGGCCGGATCCATTTTGGGTATATACAGCAGAGACAGGATTATGTCTAATACTGACCGTTATATTTGTGGACGAGACATACTATGATCGAAGAATCCCCGCATCTGAACAACCGCCCCGAGGGAATCACATTACGCGGCTTCTGGGCATTGCACAATTCAAGTCTCGACGCTTTCGTAACTCCTTCGCTCAAGCCATTTGGAGATGTGTTAGTGTCCTGCTTAAGCCAACTGTGTTTTTGGCTTGTTTATACTACGTTCTGGTACGTGTCCCTTCATGAGCTACCTCACAATGATGGTTACAAAGTGTCCGGCACTGACAAGCTAATCTTCCTTAGACATTTGCTTGGGTTGTCGGGATAAATACCACACTTTCACTCTTTTTGACTCCCTTGTACAACTTTGGTCCATTGCAAATCGGCTACTTTTATTTCACTCCGGTCATAGCCGTGATTCTTGGCGAGGTCGTGGGTCATTGGCTTCACGACATCCTTGCGAAGCAGTATATTAGACGACACCATGGCCATTTCGAACCGGAAGTGCGTCTAAGAGCGATTTGCATCAGTCTGCCGTTCATGCTGGTGGGGTTAGTGTTGATAGGACAATGTCTTGGACAAGGATGGCATTACATGGCGACGTCTGTATGCTGGGGCCTTTACGTATTTGGTGTCATGGTGACAACTGTCGCGTTAAGCAGCTATTGCCTAGACAGCTATCCTGAGGCAAGTGGCGAAGTAAGTGCGTGGCTAAACTTTTCTCGGACTCTCGGGGGCTTCATCATCAGTTACTTCCAGGTCTCTTGGGCGCAGAGCCAAGGAACGAGGACTAGCTTCGGCATTCAAGGCGCTGTCTGTGGCGCAGCGTTTATCATTGTCCTCATCTTGATGTGGAAAGGCAAAGCAATGAGAGTTTGGGCTGGACCTCTCAATTTTGCCACGGCCTGAGGAGAGCCGCTTATGCTAAGCAAGTCGATTGGAGGAAGATACATGATTGCATTCTCGATAACATTTATAGCTACTTAAGATAAACTACCCTTCAAGTAAAATTTCAATATGTGAGTTAGGAGTCATTAGAAAGCTGAAAATTTCCGATAAATTGCTAGACTAGGGTTAGTAGGAGATCTGCGCGGGAAAGGCACTTGACACAACACTGTGAATTGGGATGAAGATCAAACACCATTCAAACAATAAAATTTCTCATAAACAGATCTCTTTCCCAAACTTTCCACTAACAACATTGACTACCAATTAAGTGACCTTCTTCAAGGAACGTCTTTGGCATTTTGAAGTGTCATTAAGGCCTTCTATCATGGGACTCCAAAAGCTCTTGATGTGCCTTGGGGTCCTGGTGCTCGCTAATGATGTCGCCGGCCAAAATAGCACCAGGAAGCCACCTCTGACTCCTCAGCATGTGTTTCAATTCGATGTCAATGGTACCTGGATTGAGAACATCGCAGTTCGCCAAAACGGTGACCTGCTCGTTACCACCGCATTGCCATCTGGAAACCTCTTTCTCATACAAGAACCAATGTCTCAGCAGCCTAGCATAGTTCCTATGTTTGCCTTTCCAACCAACTCAACAAATGGCATCATTGAGACGCGACCAGACACGTTTATTGTCATCGCCGAGAATATCAGCCAGAGCGGCAATCCTGCCAATGGCGTGCAGGGAACAAACCAAGTTTGGGAAGTAGCTCTGACGGACACCGAGAGCCCACCAGCAGTGATTGCCCGGAAAGTCGCCGATATCCCAGATGCACCTAGACTAAATGGTGCGGCCGCTATCCCAAACACCACCGCTGTGCTTCTTGGAGACTCGCAGCTGGGAGTGGTTTTCCGTCTCAACACCGCTACTGGACAGTACACCAAGGCATTCCAACTTCAAGAAATGGCGCCCGTGCCAAACTCCAACAGCTCAGACGACGCTCTTGGTATAAACGGCATGAAAGTCCCTGGTGACGGCTTTCTCTATTTCTCAAACGCAGCTTCCCGAACCATGTATCGCACTGCGATCACGCCGGATGGATTCCCAGCCAACTCAAACGGCAGCAACGGAACCTCATCTGGTTTCGTCGAGACAATCGCTCGGATTCCAAGCGTCCCTTGGCTGGATGATTTTGATGTACGCTCGTCGGATGGGAGCATCTTCCTTACCGGTAGTACTGGAAACGTGTTGCTCTTCATTAAGCGCATAGGGCTAACGTATGAGGCACCCGTGGTTTTGGCCGGCGCTGTTGGCCAGTTGACGCTTGCCACCTGCACAGCTGCTGTGTTTGGTCGCTTGGCTGGCAAGACAACGCCAACACTCTTCATCACAACTGGAGGTGCCCAAGGTGCGCCTGTCAACGGAACTGTGATCGAACCTGCGAAGGTGATGATGATCAATACCTCCGGTCTATAGAAAACGGATCTATGTGATATTTGTATTCATTCGTCACGACTGTTCGTTATAGCCAACTGATGAGCAAGATTGGCAACTTTTTAGCGTTTCGGTCTGACCGCGACTGTCCACGGACGGCAGGAAGTCAATAGAAGTCCAACAACTGTTCCTTGCCCGTATACAAGAAGCGTGCTACCGACTAGTAGTAATAATATATTTAGCATCAGTCGTGTCCCGGTTCCAATGTCGACGGATCCAAAGTCCAATTTGTCATCTAAAACCGATCACCCGCAGACCCGGCATTTCCGGGGGAATATGGTGTGGCTTGATGTTTTGAGAGGCTCACAGAAGATATCAGTCGAAACTTCCAAGAACACGGCTGAGAGCTACTCCAGTCATCCAAATGCCTAGTGTCGCTAAAGATTGCCGTGGTTCATGCGGCTTGAGCTAAGATAGACCTCTGACTCCACGCAGGGAATATATTTCCGCGACCTTAGCAGCCATTAACCACCCCTCTTGTTCCAATAACCCGCAGAGATCGGTCGGTCTTTCTTCGACATTTTTTCGTGCTGGATGTTATACATTCAGCGTTTGGCTTTGTTCAGCCACTCTAGCCGTCGATTCTGTCATCGAAAGCTCCATTCTCTTCAATTTAAGTCAGCCTAAGTCGGGGTTGAGAAAGGTCGTAACGATGGACGATGGCAATGATCTCTTCATGACAAACTGTCCAGAGATTGAACATTTCACGGAAACCCTTCACACTGACTCTTACCCTTTCATTTCAATCGCTAGCTCAGACTTCAGTGGGAAGTCGGTTCTCATCACAGGAGCGTCTAAGGGCATCGGCCGAGTGACCGCCTTGAGCTTTGCCAGAGCTGGTTGCTCAAAAATCGCCATTGCAGCTCGATCTGATCTGATCTCTTTGGAAGATGAGATCAAGTCGGTAGCTCAAGCCTGCAATATTGCTATCCCTGAGATCCTCTGCCTGAAGCTGGACGTCAAGTCGGAGTCGTCGGTAGCAGCTGCAGCAGACGAGGTCTCTCGCGCATTTGGCTGTCTCGATGTCTTGTTCAATAATGCTGGCGTGCTCGAGGCAATGGTGCCGCTGGAAGAGGGTGACCCGGCGGAGTGGTGGCAGACGTGGGAGGTCAACGTCAAGAGTATATATCTCATGTCGAGAGCCATGATGCCTCTGCTGCTCAAATCAGAGACGAAAACCATGATCAACAACTCTAGCTCGGGAGCCCATATGCTTCTTTTCATGAGTTACCAGACCGCGAAAACGGCCGTCATTCGACTGACCGAGTTCCTGGCTGCACACTATGGCAAAGACGGGTTCATAGCCATTTCTGTCCATCCTGGTACCATCAGAACTAACCTCGAAAACCTGGTCTCCAGCGAGTACGACTACATTTTCAAAGACTCCGGCGCTTTGCCTGCTGACACAGTAGTCTGGCTGTGTAAAACGAGACGAGGGTGGCTGAATGGGAGATTTGTCTCAGTAAACTGGGACATGTCAGAGCTGGAGGCCAAGAAAGATGACGTTCTGTCTCGAGATTTGTTCAAGTTCAGACTCACAGTATAGGTGCTTCGGGGCTTCCTTGACCAAGCTCATGCCTAAGGTCTGAGTGGCTTTGTGACCTTCTCGAGAAAATCCATGGCTGTCCTAAACATGTACAGGCCTGTTTGAGTTTCCCTGTTTGTTGTGGATCATTAATGGAATATGTCGAGATTCGAGCCCCAATTGTGAAGAGCATCACCTCGTGCTGCAAAACACACCCAAGACCACTCCTGTCCGATGTGACTGGATCTCGACCAACCTTCACTGCACCAAACCAAAATAAAACGACATCATAACGACATCATTGGAGAAACCCCTTCAGCTCACTCTTTGTTTTTCCACAAAAGCATCTCTGAACCCATTGTACCCTTTTTGCTGGGCAAAGGTCACACCCCACTTGTCCCCTTCGCCAACCATTCCAGCAAGCACATCCTCAGCAGACGGTTTTACAGTGAGACTTGGGGCGAACAGCTGCTTCATTCTGAACTTCATCATCACAAAGCCTTCCTCTTACTTCCGCTGCAAACTCCTCTCCTTCTGACGTTTCCCTGAGAAGAACTGGCTGTCGATATGGCGTCTCCGTTGGAATTGCTCGCGGTGGAGCTATTCGATCAGATTATCGACGAAGCCGGGCGACACCAATCGGCACGTCCTCATATCGCACGACTTCTGCGATGTTCTCGCAGCCTCCAGAGATATATCGAGCCTAAGCTCTACGGGACCCCATCACGTCTTAACCGTGCAATGCGCTGGGGTTGCAGAACGGGTAGCGTCGACACCATTCGCCTTACCGTAAAGTACGGCGCCGACGTGAATATCGTTGGCGATGAGAATCTCACCGGAGCCAAGATTCTCACGCTGTCTTTAGCAGCCAAGCATCGCCGCGCAGATGCTTTCGAGTGCCTTCTCAGGCTCGGATCTTGGTTTCACGATGTCGACCTCCCTCCTGATATCCGTGCCCAGCAAGCCTCACATTTGGTCACACACGTCTGCAAGTGCGCCGCTTCCAACAATCAATCAGAGAGGGATGTTGTTCGGATCTTCTACGATTGGGCCCTTGACTGGCAGGTTAAGAGATGCGGTCACGGCCCGGATGTCTACTGGCCTCTAGTCAAGCTCATCGCATCTGGGGTGTCTGTTGACGTGGTGCGCCTGCTCCTTGATCGCGGAGCCGACGTAAACAGGCTCGACTCATATAAGCACATCACGTTTCTATCTCCTCTTTCTGCTGCCATCTTTGCCAACTCTGCAGATGTCTTCCGACTACTGATCTCACGGGGCGCGAATATACACGGTACTCCATTGTCAAAGCCGACCTTCGGGTGTCTCCACGTACCTGTGTTTGCTGCTGCTCACATGATAGCGACATCTGAGCACGGCATTGAGATGATGCGTCTGTGTCTCGATAATGGAGCCGATATCAACCAGACCGTACTCCTTGTTGGGCTGCCTTCTGGAATTGTGTACGAACACAGCCGATGGAACTGCGACAGGTACCCACAGTCTTACCTCGGAACACCTATCTGGGTATTCCTGGACTCTATCACTTCATGGTCCGAGGATAGTGTGCCTGATCTTATCGAAGCATTGGATTTCTTGCATGAACAGAAAGCTTCCACCGCCACTCCGGCGGTGGGCTTCCCCCATTACTATGAAGGCCCAATATACCCACAATTCCTCCAACCCGTCAAGCTTCTCGAGATGCTTTTGAATAAATGGTACGTCAGAATACTGCGTCTTCCTCGTGGACTCGAAGTGATTGCAACACTGATCAATCATGGCGCGGCTGAGGACACGACGTGGTTTCTAGTCCGATACTCGCTCCGTTCCCCGTGGCCTTTTCTCGGCTCTAAGAGACTTGATAGAGAGCAGGTGTGGGAGGGTCTGGCGAAGCTGGCAGAGACATTCATCACAAATCTTCCGCCTGACCAGCTCAATAAGGTTTTATGTGGCTATATCAACGAACTGTGGTTGGAGAACAGAAGAGTCATAAGACTCAACGAGGCGGTCATCGGTTTCATGCTAGCAGCTGGTGCCAACATCAATGCAAGATTCGGAGCGCTTGGAATGGAAGCTCCTGGTGGGAAGACTATCCTCCAAATGATATGCGCAGAACTCAACACACCTGTGCCGGGCAGAGGACTGCGCCCACATTCAACGAATGGCCTCTTGCGGTTCCTCATCAGTCGGGAAGCCGATCCCCACCTCTTGTTCCAGGGCAAGACCTGTTTCGACATTTTGCTAGAGGATCTAGGTCGATACCACATTGACACACAGGAGGAACTGATTGCATGGACGCGCATTCTTATGGGTGATCGGGGGGTGATCCCTCGCGGAACTTCTCATTGGCTGGAAGGGCCGTGAATCTGGAGGTCCCAGGGAGACTGGCTTCTTTCATCTTTCACACTGGGCTGCAAAGTTGCTGGATTATGGAAGTTGTGGACGGGCAGGCCCTTTGAATGGAAGGGCAATCACCGAGATATGATCACAGAATGTTGCTCGAGGGTTGACAAGCTGCTCGAAATATCTTTGGCAAAAGACCAGATCCAATCGGAACATGGTCATAGACTACGCTTGGGATTGCATCGCCACCAGTCTGACGATGATGATACTCTAGAAACACTCAATGAAACCCATTCACCTTCTCCTCTTTGCCCCAGCCACCGGCTCCTGGTGACATAATGATGACTCTCTCGCTCGCATTTAATGCCGTTGTTGCCTTGCCACCCAGGTTTACTATGCTCTCTTGTCCCTGTTCATCTTTTCTCACTATCAGGTTGACACCTGGCTGACCATCACCGCCGCCCTCCAAGCCGTATGGACTCCTGCATCTCCTCTCACTGAGGATCGAGCACTGTACTGGAACTCGAAATTCGATTTCACGAACCGTCCCGTCGCCGCCGTGGAACAGGCCAGATCCCCCAGAGCCAGCTCGAAGCTCGAACCGTCTCAGTATACAGGGATAGCGCTTCTCAAAGACCTCGGGATCGGTGATCCGAGTGTTGGTCATGTGTGTATGGACTCCGCTCTGACCCTTCCACGTTGGTCCAGCACCTGAGCCGCCGGCGATCGTCTCATAATAGCCGAAACCGTCCTTGTGCTCACCGGTAACCGGATCTTTGCCGCCGGTACCAAATGTGAGGTTGTTGCAGCATCCTTGGCTGGCAGCACACGCGTTGAACGCCTTAAGAACGACATCCGTCACACGCTGAGAAGTTAATACGTTTCCACCGACAACAGCCAAGCCCTTGGCAGGTGATAGGATGCTCGACTCTGGTACAACGATGTCGATAGGGTTGAGGCAGCCCTGATTTAAAGGAATAGCAGAGTTAACAAGACAGCGTAGGCAGTAGATGATGGCAGAGTGAGTGATCGCAATCGGCGCGTTCGTGTTTCCCAGCACCTGTGGCCCAGTGCCGGTGAAGTCAAATGTCGCTGAGCCGTCCTCGTTGATGCTGATCTTGAGCTTGATAGGGGTACCGTCATCCATGTAATCGACCGCCTCAAGGGGCCGGCCCTTGTACTTGGCCAGCGTGGCCTTCATCAACTCACGCACGGCAATCTCGGCTGTCGTCTGGATGGCGTACATGTATCTGTGGACGGTGGATAGGCCGAACTCGGCAATGAGCGCTCTGATGAGCGAGATGCCCTTCATGTTGGCAGCAATCTGGGCTTTCAAGTCTGATATGTTATCATACAGCTTGCGCGTACCAGAGCAGCCGGGATGCTTTGCGGGTTCGACGAGCAGAAGGCGAGTGATCTCCTCCTCGTTGAAGACACCTTCACTAACTAGCTTGGTAGACTCGATCGACGCACCCTCCTGCCAGAGGGCAGTGGAGTTAGGCGGAACCGAACCGGGTAGAATACCACCAATATCGGCGTGATGACCTCTCGAAGCGACATAGAAGGCAAGCTCTTGGCCGTCGAACACTGGTGTAATGACGGTGATATCCGGGAGATGGGTTCCACCGCACGAAGGGTGGTTCGACACCAGGACATCCCCATCCTTTAGTTTGCCTTCCCACAGCTTGTGCTGGTAACGGACGGCGAATTGCATGGAGCCCAGATGAACCGGCACATGAGGTGCGTTGGCGACAAGTCCGCCATCGGGGCTAAAGATGGCACAAGAGAAGTCGAGACGCTCCTTGATATTAGTAGACACTGCGGTCTTTTGGAGCGTACGGCCCATTTGCTCAGCAATCGACATGAAGCGATGGCCGAATATGGACAACTGGATGGGACTGAAACCCTCGTCGGCGTTAGATGTTGATGGAGCAGATTGCCGGTCGATTACAACATAGCTGTCTAAGACGGTCGCGAGCGAGGCAGGAGTAACCACGATAGTCTGTGTCTTGTCGATGATCAGGGCTGGTCCCTCAATCTTCGCTCCGACGGGGATACTCTGCAGTTCAAAGGTCGGAGTATCTCGCCATCCTCCCTCGGCGAAGAACACCTTACTGGCCCCATTGGCTGCGAACTCGCCGACAGTGAGACTCTTCACGGCTTGGAGCTGTGCGAATGGGCTCTTCTCCACCCTCGAATGTGCTGAACCGATGGCACGCACACGGATATCGTCAACGATGATAGCCTTCTCAGGGAAGTGGAAGCCGAACTCTCGCTTGTGCGCAGCCTCAAACTCTGTCTGAAAGTCCCAATCGGCGCCTTTCAGAATCATGAGGGAACTGCTGGATCCAGAATACCTCATGTTGAGGTAACAGTCATATGATATCTGCTCCTGGCCAAAGCCTTGTTGTACGAGCTCGAGAGCTGCCTGAGCAGCGAGCTGTGTCAGCTGCTGCTGGATGGCAGGCTGCGTCTCGCTACCATAGGTCATGGCAGCTGGCTTTTGGATCTCATGGACGACATCCGCCAATGACATGCCATATGCAGATAAAATGGAGGAATACTTGTGGATGATGACACGAGAGATACCGAGGACAGCAGCTACTGAGCAAGCGTGCTGTCCTCCAGCACCACCGAAGCATGCCAGGTGGTGTGTTGAGGTCTCATATCCACGCGCCTCGGTGAGCGCCCGGATCGGCCTAGCCATGCCCTCGTTGGCGACCTCGAGGAAGCCCATCGCCACCTCTTCGGCCGTAAAAGGAGTCATACCAGCGCGCCGCCTCTCATCGTTGATCTCCTCCGTAAGGGTGACAAACTTGGATGCAGTGATCTCGCGGTTTAGCGGCTCATTCTCCTTGGGTCCGAATACCTTTGGGAAGTACTCAGGTAGAAGTCTTCCTAGAAAAAGATTGGCGTCTGTCACTGTAAGTGGACCACCTTTCCTGTAACAGGCTGGCCCAGGATGTGCTGAAGCTGACTCGGGGCCAACATTGAACAGACCGTTCTTCCACGTCAAAATCGAGCCACCTCCAGCAGCCACAGTATGAATATCTAGTTGAGGGGACTGGATGGCAATCCCTGCAGTGGTGGTCTCGAATACGTGGTCGTACACTCCTGCATATCTCGAGACATCAGTCGAAGTACCGCCCATATCGAAGCCGATGATTGGTCGTCGTTCCTGTTCGTCCCAAGAAGTCTGCGCATATCCTACCACACCACCGGCGGGACCTGATAGAATCGCCTTCAATCCACTGAACTTTCGGTAATCGACAAGTCCACCGTCTGACTGCATGAACTCGATCCTCGTGTTCGGGGATGAGAAGCCACCTCTGAAGTTGGCCTCGATGGACTGAATATACTGCTTGATGACGGGTGTTAAATAAGCATCGGCCATCGCAGACATGCCACGAGGGACGACGTTGATCATGGGCTGGACAGCCGAGGACAGAGTGACTGAGAATCCCATTTCAACTGCCATGCTGCCGACAAGGTTCTCATGATCGGGATATGCATACGAATGGACGAACACAATGGCGATCGAGCGGAAGCCCTGATCCCAGAGGTTCTGCAGTGACTGCCGAATGGCAACGAGATCTGGTCTTTGGAGAATGCGAATGGTTTCTCCGGTCACAGCGGTCACTAGCTCCGCGTCTTCGCCATTGGCGACAGTTTTGACAGAAACAGGATCTTCGGTGTAGTCCTCCATCGTAATGCGCTCCTCAACTTCGACCACCTGCTCGTACAGCACCTCGGGCCTAGCCACAGACAGGTCGAAAATATTCGGCCTTGACTGGTTGCCGATTAGAAGGAGATCCTTGAAACCCTTTGTGATCAGAAGCGCCGAACGCGCTCCTTTCCTTTCTAAAAGCGCATTTGTTGCGACGGTCGTTCCCATTCGGATTGACTCAATGTGAAAGAGGTCCAGGAGCTCGCCCCTGGGATGCGGCCGACCAGTGGCCAGCTCGAGAATACGCCGAATGCCTTCGGTTGGCGCATCTTGATAATTTGCGGGATCTACTGAGAGCAGCTTCAAGATGATGTCCTCCCTGCCAGGTATGGAAGCGTGCACATCTGTGAATGTACCTCCACGATCAATGGAGATACGGATGCGGAGCGACTTGACAGTCATTGTGATGGATCTAAAGCAAAATGAAACGCGCCAAACACACAAGACAAGAAGGGAATGGCGTCTCAGCAAAGAAGGATAGCAACGATGGACCTACCGTCTGACAGAGCGGATACCGTTTCCTTATATTTGATCATTGTCGAACGGACCGCACGCTATGTCGCCACTTAGCGGAAGGGTCCCATTCTAGTAGACTGTCGTTGAGGGTCTCCGGCAGAGAGCTCCAAGACTGCCGCCAGAAAACGCCTATGGCGACCGATCCGCTGACGGATTACGGAATTCCGCCTGCGCGCTCCATAGCTCTGCCATTACTCACTATATCGTTACTAACAAGCGAATAGCTTGACCAGAGAGCCTTTGCCGACACCGGCAAACTTGGCTGTAGTCGGTGCCGTTCCAATTGACCTAAAATCGGTGAATTAGAAGACACTGTTTTGCTCGACGGCCCGGGGTTGTTGTTGGTGGGTTTTCGGCCACGATTCAGCGCCCTTCACAATCGACAAATGCCCACTCTCAATGCTGAAAGGCGCCCGGAAGAATGCATGCTTTCGTCAATCATGATCGCTATTACACCAAGTAATTCCCCATTTCCCACTGTGTCTCTGCAATTCCCGAAGCCTCGATCGGCAATTGCAGGTGCAGGAGATGGGCTAACACCACGCGTGTCGAGGAACGAAGTGAAGAGAGAGGAGCTCCAACGCCCCGGAAAGCCTGCGCGAGGGACAAACAAGAGATCGGGGTGGGTCCCCGACGATATTGAAGACACACCTGCCGTGATCATAGCCATCCCTAGTTTCCGCGGTCCCTGTAGGCTGGCTCCATCCCGATCAGCGGGGAGGGCCGTACTATGTGCGTTGCCGAAACATCATCACCACGATAGACAGCATGATAGGCGTATCAGCCCAGATGCAGATAGTCTTGAGCACGCCTTCAAGATGCTATGCTGACGGAGATGCCCTGCCGCTACTCCATTTGTCATCTCTGGAATATCGTTTTTTCTGAACCTCAAAGTTGAGGTTGGGTCCAATCTTTAAGTACTCAGGCGTACTGCTTCGCCTCTTGACCTCTTGACCTGCATCTAGCATACGATATCGCAACATGGCGAAACACGCATTTACAACAGGCCGCGAGGCGCGCCTCGCAGCCCGTGACAAGAGCTTCAAAGATCAGACCTCCGGTATCGCGCCGTCCTATCTCCAAGCCAACTTACTAGTTCTCCCGCGCCGTTACGCCGACGACTTCCGTCTCCTATGTGCCCGAAACCCCGTTCCATGTCCTCTCGTTGCCGAGTCCGCCGCCCCAGGCGATGCGACACAGCTCAAGTCCCATCTCAAAGCCCCGGCAGCCAAGTCTGCGACGAACGGTCAAGCGAATGGCACCTTGCACACTGAGGACAGACCGCTCGATGTTGCCAAGGATATCGACCTCCGTCACGACTTCTCAAGATACATGGTCTATAAGGATGGCAAGTTGGCGCATGAGGCTGAAGATATCGCGGCAGAGTGGTCGGAGGACCATGTTGGCTTCCTGATCGGCTGCTCGTTCAGCTTTGAGTCCGCATTGGCTCAGGCTGGGCTGGCCCCAAGACAGCAAGCCCAAGGCAGGAATGTGCCGATGTACAGGACCACAATCCCTCTGTGCCCTGCCGGCGTTTTTGTCGGCGGCACCTACGTTGTGTCTATGAGGCCATATAGAAAGGCAGACGTAGAGAAAGTTAGGGACATTACACGGCGTTTTGTGGCTACTCACGGTGAGCCGGTCGCCTGGGGCTGGGACTCTTTAGAGAAGCTAGGTATTAAAGACATCACGAAGCCGACATGGGGACAGCAGTCCCTTCGTCTGGATGGAACAGGGGCTTTTGATCAGAGCGAGGAGGATTACGTGCCCGTCTTTTGGGGATGCGGTGTTACACCGCAGAATGCGGTCGCGATGGCCAACCTGCAAGGCACAGTCATGGCACACGCTCCAGGCCACATGATTGTTCTAGATGTCCAGGAATATGAGGTCTTCCCTACTGCTATTGAGACGGCGTAACCAAGGAATGCTCGACTCTAGTGCAGTAGATTCTCTGACGTACATTTCTCAGAGCATGTTAGATATATTATCATTGACAAACTAACGTATCCTGACCTGCCCAAAGCTCACCACCTGCCCTCTTTAGCATTACGTACCATTATCAATTAAGATCATGACAGATGCTTCCAATGACTGCTTGTCATTCCTCTAGTCAAGGGTCCATCTGGCGCAATCCGGTCATCAACCCTATTCGCCCGGACGCAACAAGAAGGTTCCGCCTATTAGCTTCCAGCCCCCCCGCGCCGAGGCTTCTTCACGATGGCGGTCTACACGGCCGCTATATGGCCAATTCGTTGCCATGTGCGTCGACGCCCACCACGAACACGCGGGAGCACCCTTGATAATACATGCAAGTCGGGCATCCTGGCGCTACCCATACCATGATATCGTGTTCGTCTATGGCACCATTGGTCGGAGATACGAGTCTCAATGTCGAAACCCCTCTCAGTCTTGCTGTTTGCATTCGTGATCTAAGGTTACAGTGCTACGCTCGTGTAGCATTGGAGCAGGTATCTATAGCTATGTGAGCTGCCCGCCCACATTTCAGCTTTCCCTGTGAAAATCCCAGACGATCCCGCGCCTTGTACATAGCAATTCCCACTTGCCGGTTGACCCGTCCGTGTGCACTAAAACCCGCGATGGCAGAGCCCAGTGCTGCCCCACCACAACAGCGAAGCAGTGAGCCCATTGAGGCTGCTCAAGTTCACGAATTCGATGAAGAGCATGAGTTTGCGACTTCAGATTACGATGCCTCTTCTGTGTCGAGCTCGTCGGCGAGTTTGACCTCGAGCGTATATGCGCATCAATTCGAAAATGGCAGACGGGTGAGTGGTGCTCAATGTGCTACGAAACCTCGCGACAGCTTCAATTGCAGACCGCGCTGGCCGAGCTAACACCAGCTAACTCGCAACTCGCGCCAGTATCACCAATACCGCCATGGAACCTATCCGATTCCGAACGACGATGCAGAGCAGAACCGTGACGACATGAAGCATGCCATGATGATGGAGTTGACAGAGTAAGTACAGTCCGTGGCGCGGGGCATTTACAGCGCAGCTTTCGCATCCCGGCATCCCGCTTTTTCAGCTTGGCAGATCTGACCGATTTGCAGCGGCAAGCTCTTCTACGCCCCAGTCGGCGAGAATCCGCAGAAGATTATTGATCTGGGGACTGGCACGGGAATATGGGCTGTTGATGGTATGTATGCCTCTACGTCGCTCATCGTATAGGTACGTGCTAGGCTTAGGGCTGACATCATGGCTTTCTCAAGTCGCCGACAAATACCCCAGCGCACAAGTGCTCGGCGTCGACCTCAGTCCGATTCAACCGTTGTGGGTTCCGCCAAACTTGAAGTTTATCGTCGACGATATCGAGGATGAGTGGATGCATGGCGACGACTGGGACCTAGTACATTTGCGCTGCATTAGCCCGTGGCTGAAAGACCAACCCAAGGTCCTCCGGATGGCATATGAGTGAGTCTGCTTCGTGGGCCAACTTTGGTCAAGAACTCATTCTTGAATAGACACATGAAGCCCGGTGCCTGGGTCGAAATCCAAGAGTTCGATTCGAGAGCTAATTGCGACGATGGATCTCTACCGGAGGACGCGCCATTGAAAAGGTTCTTTGACACCGCATCCGAAGCCGTCAAGTCCTTCAACATGAACTTTCGCGCGGGCGAGAACCTCGGAGACATGATAAAAGAAGCTGGCTTTGTCAACGTCGGTTGTGTCAAGCTAAAGGTCCCCATCGGCACTTGGGCAAAGGTATAAAATCCTGCGTGGAGGTCTATACCCCCCTTGTAAGGCTCGCTAACACGTGTTCTTGGGCAGGACCCAAAGCTGCGCTTGATTGGCATGTATCTCAGGACTGCAGTAAATGACATGTTTGGCGCCATGGCAGCTAAGCCCCTCCGCAAAGTGATGGATCCCGTAGAGATTGAGCTGTTCCTGAAGAAAGCTAGGGAGGATTTGAGCAATCCAAACATCCATGCCTACGAGAATTATTTCTTCTGGACGGGACAGAAGCCGAAAAATGTGGGAAAAGGTAAGGGGACAGACCCAGAATGAGGCGAGCAACATGGTTGAAAATTCATGTTGCATCATATGCCTGTCTAAATTTCTATATATATCGCATGCCAGTAAACGAGCTGGTGCTTATTTGTTGACATGTATCACTTGAATCCAAATGTTTCGCACTGTTATCAATTCAATGATCCAAAGACTTACTCGATTTACGATGGTAGATGTTCTTCATAGAAATTCGAGGCAGTTTTCGTATATCCTGATTCGGTTCATCACTCAAATGAAATCTTGTGGCGGGGAAGTCAGCATGGAAGGCTCCAGCCCACATGTCTTCCCCGCGCTTCAAGTCACACAGTATTGCTTTGAACTCTACATTATTGTTGCGGTTACAAATTACCAACTTGATGTGCTAGAGACTCCTATTTTGACCTTTTTGGAGCTTTACAAACACGGCGCGCACTCTCGCTGACTTTAAGCTACCATAGAATGAGGCTTCTCCATACTTCGACCTTCGAGCTTGAGGAAGTTCATGAGAATGATGTTCAACCATATGCAATCTTGTCGCATAGATGGGAGAAGGATGAAGTGTCGTACCAGGAAATCTTGAGTGGCATCCAGCCGCAAGTACCTAAATGCCTGAAGTTGCTAGACTTCTGCAAGCAAGCAGCGCATGATGGTTATGACTACTGTGTGAGCTGTCTTAGTGTTTACGTTAATGGAAGAAGGACCATTTCACTGACCCTCCATCTAGTGGATTGACACATGTTGCATTGACAAATCAAGCTCCGCGGAGCTTTCTGAGGCTATCAACTCAATGTTTCGATGGTACCAGAACGCGCATCTTTGTTATGCATACCTTGTTGATGTCAAACATCACGACGACTCCGGGGACACAGACAGCAGCTTCAGGAAGTCGACCTGGTTTACTCGGGGGTGGACCTTGCAAGAACTCCTTGCTCCTCCAGTTGTTTACTTCTATGACCGGGACTGGGAGGAAATCGGCTGACGGGACTCGTTGAAATTAATCGTCGCTGAGATCACATATACTCACTTGGACTACTTCATGACGGGTGACTTGACGAAATATAGTATCGCCCAAAGAATGTCTTGGGCATCTCGACGTGAAACAACACGTATAGAAGATGAAGCGTACTACTTGCTGGGTATTTTTGGGATTAATATGCCACTTCTCCACGGTGAAGGGAATGCGGCCTTCCGTCGGCTTCAAGAGGAACTGCTTCGACGTTCTGATGATCAGTCCATCTTTGCGATTATACAATATATTCCTGATTCAGCAAAAAGCGTTCTCGCAGACAGCCCAGAATCATTCCGGATATCTGGACATATTGAATCTATCCATTCTCTCACAGCATCTTTCGAAGCTTTTGAATACTCCACTATGGTCAAGGGTGCCTCGATAACAAGCAGAGGAATTGAGCTTACCTTGGCGCTGCTTGAGTCAGAAGTGGCTGGCTATGCGAAGGAAGACGGCGATGACAATGCTCCGCTATTAATTAAAGCTAGTGGGGTTGCAGCAGTAACAGAGATCTATACTGGGATCATTGTTGCGATACCTCTAATTCACAGGTGTCACGGGCTATATACTCGAAGAGCTAGAAGTTTCAGGTGGTTAGATAGAACAGTTGCCAACAGCGCTAGATTGCGAACAATCACCCTGGAACACCACCAGCTCGAACTCCAACGGTCTTGGACTAGACAATTGGGCATGGACGATATCATCACTGTGAACTACCGCCATGCAGAGACTTCAGGCTTCTTTCGAGCCTGGTTTAAAGCAGGTCTGCTAGACACCTTGAACGATGTCCCTGGCCGGCACTCGCTCTTGCACTACACGACTTTCCCAAGATCGGGCAACAGTATTTTCATATGCTTTGTAAACGCACTAGGTGGCTCATTCCTTCTTAAGATCACGGCGCTCTTAGGCGCCGTCGAGGTGACCCTCTGGCATGATCTCCAAGATTCGGACCTTCAAGCCTCCAGGGAAATTTTGTAGGTCCCAGACCTGGCCTTGTCGGAGACAGAGCAAGGGCATATCAAACCAGGGGAAATCAAGTGGAGATTCAGGTAAATACAAGCAGGGCACCGCTCTCCTGGATTGTTGATGTTGTCATATCATCATCTATCAGAAACTAAATAGTCCAGATTTGTTAGTTTTACGTCGTTTCTTGAATTCTTAAACATCGGAAAGGTATTACAAAGTGTAAAGGTCTTCGTAATATGCTACAAAGAGATAGATATATGTACTGGGAATATTGCCCTACTAGTCCTTATTGAAGAAGCTCCTGCGCAGCATTCGGATGAAGCTGAACATCAAATCGATCAAATAGATATGTTGCTCTACGCTAGTCACAATAAAGTAGGTCCTATCCCCTATCCTTAAAGCCCCATTCCATCCATTCCCAGATCACTTGGTCCCTGACTATGACCAGTACCAGAAGACATCCCAGTAAGCCTGTTCCCACCGGTAGGTCCACCTGCTTGGTGGACAGCCATCTGATGAGCAGCCTGAGTCCACTGTGCGAGGTTGAATCCTGCATCTCCAGCAGGATTGGCAAACGCCTCCTCCCAGAAGTCATTATTGCCTGTGAGCAAACTCATATCGACATCTTCAACATCGACATCATGGAAGATATTCTCGCCTAGTGAAGGATTGTTGAGTAGCTGAAAGTCTGGTAGGTTCTGTGGCTCAACAAGATTCAGTCTGCCAGCACCGCTCAGAGCACTGCTGGTGCTCATGTGTAAGCCGTTGATGCTGAGCATGGGTGCTCCCGGCATGAAGAGCTCGTTGCTGGGATTTGAGCTGCCCGATAGACTCCGCGGGCGCGGCATGGGAGCGAAGTTGCCCAGGGAGGATGGTGTTTGGGGGAACATGTTGGAAAGCTGCGTAGCAGTGTCCACAGTTGATGGAGGAACAGCATCGGGCATGAATGTTGCCCGAAGGCGAGCAAGAAGTTCGTAGCGAGAGGCCATGTGGCTGTTCCCTCGTTGTGACATGCCTCGTAAGAGTTCGAGGCCGGCGTTCATAGAGTATGTGACTTGAGAGTTTGTAGGGAAGGCAACGCAGACCATCACTAGCACTATGACGGCAGAGAAGGCATGTTCACTATCCATATAGCCATATGTAGCTATTGTTCGTTAGTATTTTGTCCCGCCCGAATCAGTAAAAGACTACCACATACCAACTAAGTTCTTCTGTGCTGCAATTGTCATCATATTGATCGTATCTTGAGCAGCACTTACACACATTTCGATGACCTTGATCGTTGTCTGTGTGAGCCCAGCCTTCCAGTCGCGCTCCTTCTCTGCTGGTCCAGACTTGAGCCTCTTCTGCACCACGTGGAAAAGAAGTGGCCGAGCTGTCATGTTGATACATTGGTAGTAATGTAGGAGCGTTGATACAGACTCTCGACTGTTGCTTAGTCTCGCCGGGTCAAAGCGGAGCTCGTCCGGCATCTCACGGTGCCACTTTGACAACGACAGGATGATGTTTTGTACCGATGCCATCAATCGGGTACCAGACTTTGGTGCTCGGCGATAGATGTTGGTAGTAATAGCGCCACAGATTTGGGACAGCTTCGTGTAATGTCGAAGTACTACAGCCGGGCAATATTCTGGTTCACCGGGCAGCTTGGATGGTAGAGCAACACCGACATCGTCATCCTGGATAGTGACCGGATTGCCGGACTTGACGCACAGGATCCGGTCCATGCTATATATGCTCCACCACACGCGCCGTCTATGCTCCTTCGTTGCATCATCAAGACCCGGTGATGAAACCTCTTGGTGTAGACCAAGCGAAATAGCCATGCGTAGAGCCATACCGATATACAAGAACGCGGCGTCTCGTCGGTTCATGTTTTGCATGAAGTAGCCGACCAGTGCAAGTGTCTCGACAAAGAGGATAGAACCCTCTTCATGGGCATCGGGTAGTAGTTGCAAAGCATGCGTAAAGTACTCGAAACCGGGAGGACCGTTGTAGTCAATCCATTGATTGATTGAGTACAGCTTCCCGAAAGCGAGGATGACCAGGACTTTGGCGTAAGCAAGACATGCATCTTGGTCAGCTAGATCAGGCGGGCCTTGGTATGCCTCGAAGAGTAATTGATCAAAAGACGCCGGATCAGTGAAGGAGAAGATGGTGCCGATATATGTGTACTGAGCAGCGAACAATTGGCGAGCAATGTCGATGGGAGGCAACCGAACAGTGTTGCGAACCGATTGACGTCGTGTAGGAAGCGCTGCTCGGTTATAGAAGTCTTCGACCAGATCGAGGCTCCCATCGTCGATGTGAAGACCAGAGACCTTGCGAAAGCTTCGAAGGAAATGATCAGGGTGTGCAGGACCCTTGAAGCCTGTGCAATGGTCAGCGGACGAAAGCCGTTATAGGGAAAGAGATCCGTACTTGACGAAGGGTTGCCAGGCGAGTCTACGCTCAGCTGCGTAAATGCATCCCCAAGACGTAATTCATCGTCAAACTCGTCATCTTCATCAATGGTACCAGGCCTGATCCTGGCCGGTATAGTCACTGTACCGGTTCGTGAACGAGGATGTGAGTCTGGCAAGGGGCAGTGGTCAGTGCGACTTGCTCAGCGGCCGAATGCGGGATCACTCACCTTCATAAGACTTCACTCTCGCCTCCAACTCTCGAAGGTAGCTGAGTTGTGTTAATAAAGTGCTCTATAACGATGTAAACTTCATTCTTACGCTTCATTGACTGTAATTTTTCTCGCCTCCTCATAGACACACTCATATCCACCGGCATTGCACCTCGTGCACTTCGGCCGGTCTTTTGAGCAGTAAGACCGCCGCCGCCGACACCTCGAACATCTGAAGTACAGGAGGTAAGTATCTTGTAGAATAAGCATCTTTGAAAGAAGAAACTCACGCGACAGGTCTGAGAGCGTTTTCGCCGCCAGCCGGGGGCGAAGTAGAAGCGTTTGAAGCCATATGCAGCGAGATCTCAATCACTGAGTCGCAGTCTCGTGCACCACATTCCCTGAGTCGGTATCAATCACCGACTCCATTGGAGACCGGCCCACACTCGATGGAGTCGCCTCGCCAGCCTTTAATCAAATTTGGTCCCCTCTATGGCCTCCTATGTGCTATGACGGCAGCCTGGATGCGGCTCTTGCACGAGCTGAGGGCTGAGTGTATGCAGCCCAGCCAAGTGTGATAGTGATGCTGTAGCTGAGGCTGAACCGGCTGCTGTTCGCCGTGTGTGGCCGAACAGTGAAGAGGGGTCCTGTGCAGGACTGTGCTGAACTGTCCATGTACCACCCAAGCTAAAGCCGGCCGGCCGATCAAGGCCTGGTTAACCACCAAGAGTCGTCCTCCAAGACCAGAAACTAGTCAGTGATCACTGGCTAAACTGACTCTGGCTACCTAACCACATGTGTGTAGTGGGGGTGGAGAAGATCCAGAGACGCCAATGAATGCCGTTGGCGCGAGATAACACTGTGGTTCTTTTCCTGCGACGGGCTGGCGCTAGAAGGAAAGGAATTACACGAATTGAGTACGGTACATTCCATACATTCGTTACGTGACCTCCATCTTCGCTGTTATCGGTGCTCCTGTCCGCCCCGCTCGGTCAAGTTCGCGGCAGAAACGGGCGGGAAACTCTGGGCCGCGATACCCAGTTCATAGATGTGGCCAGCTACTATTCTCTTCTGAGAGGCTTAGAGCTTGATACAGTACAGTACTGTACTAGACCTGGAACCCGCTGAACTTGGAAATGCACCTGTGGAGCGCTTCCCCGACGTCACAGGAGGTCCGGTCCTCAGCCGTGATGCTTATCTGGCCTGACCAGGAGACACAAGCATTCCCTAGTCATTTCGGGAGCGATGGGCTGACAGGCGTTCAACCTGCGCCGTCACTTTCGACCCTGGCTTAGGCAGACTTTGAGGGCATTCCGATCGTTCCCCCGTCCTTTGAAGAGTCCTAGCTGGAGACGCATGATCGCTGGTAGACGCAGTCTAAACGCGACCGAGAGGCACTTCCCGTCAATTGAAGATTGATTCTGCGTCTAGGGAGCAAGCCACAAACCTTCCGAGCTTCCTGATCGTCGATAGCCGGGCGTAATATCCTCGAAACCCCAAATGATCAGCACAGGTCGCTCGACCCCTCCGATCGGGTCTCCCCTATCTACCGTCCCGCATGTCAGCAACTGCGACACCGTGACAGGGGGGAGCTACTCTCCACTGCAACATCAGACTGTGTGCCGTTATCCCTGGTACCACGCGATCTGCTGCAAGTGCTGCTTATCAGTGGTAGAATGGGGTAATGGATGATCTATTGTGATGACATTTTGTGACCCCCCGATGATACCGCATCGCTGGATAGAAATTTAAAGCCTGTGTAACCCGCGAGATCTGTTTGCATCACTTGCATCATCATCAATTCTTGGCCATCGTTATATTTGATTGCTGGACACGCGCATCATCTTGAGTGCCCAAAAGAGCCAATACAAGTCTATCGAATTCTTTATCACAACTCCCTGCGATGAGCGCTGTAACAGAGATTAACAATATGTCTAACGAAGTCCTTGACAAGCACTCCCCGCCTGACGGCTATGATGCCACAGCTGGCGACCTCTCGACCGAAACCATCGATCCGGTCGATGAGCGAAAGTTGCTCGCGAAATTAGATATTGCCTTTGTGCCAATCATAATGGTCGTGTATCTGTCATGTTTCCTCGACCGAAGCAACATCGGCAATGTCAAGGTGGCCGGGATGCCTGCCGATATTCATGCCAGCACACAAGAAATCTCCACCGCTGTGTCAATATTCTACGCCACTTATGTAGCGTTCGAGGCGCCCTGGGCCATTTTGCTTAAGAAATTGACACCACGATTTCTCATCACCGCCCTGTGTGTGGTCTGGTCACTAACAACCATCTTCTCCGGCTTTATCTCGAACATTGGCGGTCTGTATGCCGCTCGTTTGATCTTGGGTGCCTGCGAAGGCGGCTTGTTTCCGGGCCTGAACTTATACTTGACCATGGTGTACAAGCGCGAGGAGCAAGCCAAGAGAGTGTCATATTTGTTCGTTTGCACCGCACTATCTGGCGCATTCGGCGGTTTGTTGGCGTATGTGATCCTGAAGATGGACGGCGTTGGTGGCTATGCTGGCTGGAGATGGGTTTATATTATCGAGGGAATATTCAGCATCGTCGTTGCCGTTGCCGTCTGGTTCGGATTGCCAAACGACCCATCTAATGCGTACTTCTTGAATGATAAGGAGAAGAGAATGATGCAGATTCGAGCTGCTCAAAGAGCGCAATACATGGGTAGCGAAGAGTTTAGCTGGGAGGAGATCCGGATCACACTCAAGGACCCTAAACTCTATCTCAGGTAAGTTCTTAGCCCTTCGCACTCGAGCACATGCTAACCAGTGACGTACAGTGGTGCCATCCAGTTCTGCCAGGACATCCTTCTCTATGGATTCAGTACCTTCCTACCTTCTATCATTACATCGATGGGCTACAATAGCCTCGAGGCACAATATTTGACCATTCCTGTATACATACTCGGCGGAGCATGCTTTCTCACATTCGCTTTCATCTCGGATCGTTTGACACTTCGATCGCCTTTCATCCTCTTCGCAAATATCTTCGGCATCGTCGGCTATATCCTAATCTTGACACCCACGAGTCACGGCGTCAAGTTTTTCGGCACCTTCCTCTGTGCCATTGCAGTGTACAACGGACCGGGTCTCAATCTGACGTGGCTGAATGTCAACGTCGCGCCGCATTACAGACGCGCTGCTGCTATCGGGTTTCAGCAGACTATCGGAAATACCGCTGGCATTGTGGCAGGTCAGATCTACCGCAAGAGTCCATACGTGCTGGGCAATGCCTTTTCGGTCGGTGCGCTGGGTGTTGCTCAGCTATTGATCATCGCCAAGTTCTTATATATTCGCCGACAGAACTCTAAAAAGGCGAAGATGGCTAAGGGTGAGATTGAGGATATAAGGAAGGTGAAGACGGGTGACAGGGCTTTGGACTTCAAGTACCACCTATAGATGCTATCACTAAACGATGAAAAGTCCTGTAAAGTACCGACAGCTAATTGCAGGACCTTGACATAAGGCTAAATCCGGTGCCGGGGCGCTTGCAGTCAGATTTAGCTTACATCATACTAATACACATGGTAGCGAGACAGACAAGAAATGGCATTTCTGTTTGTATTAGAAATCCGACATGTTCGTTCTGACAGGAATTGGGAGTCGCGGTTTCACTGCATGTCCTAACAAGTGGCGGGCTCATCTATCGAACAGCATTTACACCTGGGGAAGCTGTCATCAATTATCCCACCGGCAGCTAGACTAGTTACAGCAATGATGACCAGTATTATTCAGCGCGACCCGCATGCTCTTCCTTCGCCAAGTACACCGTTGCTGCAACACCTTCACTGCTCTTACCAAAGGCAGAAGAGCCTCACCTCGGAGTTCGCGGAGTCTCCATTAGGAAATCTCGGGCTCTCGTTAGCGACGAAGAGACGAGCTCGTTAGTAATCGAGGCGCGCATGTTATTGGCTTACATGCGTTTCTTCATTCGTACAATATGTCCAATTGTCCAACCAGACTTAAGTAGGTTGATTATCAACATGAAAATTTAGCGCTATTGAGGCATATCCATGATGACGAGCCTCGTGAGAGCTTATGGCTTACAGTGGTTGAAACTCTCTATATTTAAGAGCTGCGAGCCATGTCGGAATTCAATCTAGCTGAGCATACACCTTTTTCTACATAGTAACCTTCACTACTACGTTGTTGACTGTACGTACCTTGGAAAGTTGCCAAGAAATCTGCCTTCACAATGACCGCAATCCTCAAGCACGTCGTCTTTTTCATCAACTTGATCCTCCTATTCCTCACAGCAGCGCCTACCAATGCATTGAAGAACTTCGATGATTGGGAACATCAAAGAGTAGCTCTGAATGATGTGAGTATTCACTTCAGATACGCCGGCAGCGGTCCTCCTTTGTTGCTTGTGCACGGCAACCCGCAGTTCAGCCTAACTTGGCGTATCATCGGTCCCATCCTGGCGGAGAACTTTACGGTCATTGCCCCAGATAATCGTGGTGCAGGCGACTCGTCACTACCACCAGATGGCAACTACTCCGCCACAGCCTCTGCGGAAGACCTTAAGGGCATCCTAGACTTCTTGAACATCACGTCGACCTATGTCTTCTCACATGACAAAGGTGTAGGGATGACTTATGCACTAGCCGCCAAGTATCCTTCCCTAGTCAAAATGATGGGCATCTCAGAGTATGGGCTACCTGGATTTGGCTATGAGCAGGTTGCCGCTCTCGCACCATACTGGGACTTGTACGCCAACTGGCAGCTGTCATTCTTCGCAATTCCCGATGCGGCCGAGTTCTTTATCCGAGGACGTGAGCGCGAGATGTTGCAGTGGTACTTCTTCCATGGTAGTTACTCTGGGCCAACTGCCTTCTCTGAGGACGTAGTGAGCCGCTATGCGACATCCATCTCAAAGCCGGGCTTTCTGCGCGCCATGTTTGGCCCTTTCGATAACCGGGCAATAACCGCAGATGCAGACTTTTTCAAGGGAACTCTTGGACGGAATCCCCTCCAAATGCCTGTACTTGCCCTTGGAGGCGAAGCAAGCTTTGGAGCTGCGATCGGGCCAGTCTTCCAGAACGTGACTGAGAATATGGAAACGGACGTGGTCCCGAAAGCAGGGCATTGGATTGGTAAGTCCCCATACCTCAACGCAAAAGTTTTATCCAAGAGCTCTTATTTACACTACTCTTTCAAGCCGACGAGAATCCTACATGGGTGGCAAGGCGCGTCTTCAAGTTCCTTGCACAAGACAAGTCCCCGCTTCCACATGTCGACCTTTCCTACCTCAAGGACAAAGTGACATTGACAGTTGGATACTTTGGAACTCTGGGCAATGCAGCTCTGGGTGGTGCTTAAGTACCTTAATTCGGAGTTTCAGATCACTGTACTTACTGGTCAAAATGCTGTTGGCCTGGTTGTATAAGGAAATGAGGTGACTGGGGACGGTGTTTTATGGGACGGCGTTTTCTGGGACGGCTTCTAGAAATTTGGTGGAAAAGTTCTCTGTTGTAGTGGGCTGATCAATAATGCTCCAATTATAAAAGGTATCTGTGATTATGCCAACGAAGACAAAAACAATGGGTAGCAAGTGCGTGCTAATTTCCTGTACTATGGCCTTGACCTTGTACATTTTCTTCTCCCATTTTCTCCCACCCCTCTTACCCCTTTTAGAGTATACAATGTGGGCGGACAGTCGGATAGAAACCGCCGCCAAGAGCCATGATCCCGGGTTCATAATGGAGACTTATGTCGGCATGCCAGGCGGCAGACTAGCTCTTTCAGGAATGTCAAGCTGCCACAACCAATTAGACTGGTTCTTTTGCACATCCGCCTTCGGCACTTGAATGTTACACCCCGTCTCGGAGACCCTCAATATACTTGGCGCTCCAGTGCATTCACACATCATCGAAGATCTAATTCCTGTTTCATTTCCCCGCATGTTACGGATAGGAAATGCAAGGAACATGATTGGCTTGACAGGAGCGACTAATCATTCCTAGGAGCTTAGGGGGAGATCTTGGGTTGCTTTTGCTATATACTTGATGCCTTGCTCGAACTGCAGGGCTCCATTGAAAGCGACCACGGACTGTAAACAGGCGGGGAATTGAGACGAAGATCACGGTATGTATCTAGCCGAGAGCGAGAGCGACAGCGACAGCGAGACACAATTGACCGGGTTGCAAATTCAATTGTTTCGATTGGAGGAGAGATGAGCATTCTTGTTGACACTGCCACGATGCAACGTCAGTCGTCCTGCTCTACTAATGATGAAGGCTTTGAAAGGATTGTTCGAGAGAGCGGATGGGAATAGGAGAAGGGCCGTTGATTTTATAAGGGCCTCGAAGTGCCTGTTTATCGACACACGATTTTAGATAATCGACTAGACTCAAGTGTCACAAGTATCAGAATGTCAATTACCATGAAGTTCTCCTTACTTTCCATCACCATGGCTACGGGCTTGGTTTCTGCTAATCCTCACTACCACCGCAGCTCTGGCTCCGGATGGGCACCCGCAGGTCCCGATGATTGTAGGAAATCAATACGGACAATCTTTCGAGGCACAATGCTAAATACAAGACAGTTCGGGGCCCCTGCCCAATGATGAATACGCTCGCAAACCACGGGTTTCTTCCACACGATGGCAAAAATTTGACGAAGGAAGTGGTGGTTGGGGCTCTGAAAGCAGGACTAAATTTCAATGAGTCTCTTGGTACGGTGATGTTTGAGCAAGCTCTTGTAGCCAACCCAGAGCCAAATGCTACGTATTTCACTCTGTAAGTCACTAGCATCAGTGGTTATTTCTTGAACGGATGTGCTGCTAGAAGTTGGAGCGCAAGCGTTGGAGAATCGAGGCTAATTCATACCGTTTCAGCGATCAACTCAATCGACACAATGTTTTGGAACATGATGCTAGCATGAGGTGAGCTACATACATCATCAGCTAGTCAGCTCAGATTTGGTCTCAACGAGATATTAACGAGAACTTGCAGTCGTCTTGATGCTTACTTTGGGAATAACCATGTTTTCAACCAAGAGGTATTTGACACGACAACAGTCTACTGGACTAATGAGACACTCGACGCGAAGATGCTTGCCAACGGAAAGCTGTTTCGTCAGATCGAATCAAGATCTGCCAACCCAAACTATACATTCACCTCGACGACAGAGGCATTCAGTCTCGGGGAGGTAGCGGCACCAATCATCGTCTTCGGCGACATGGACAGCGGGACAGTCAGCAGGAGCTTTGTGGAGTACTTCTTCGGTAAGCACAGATATTGAATTGATTGTTCTCTTTGATTCGGGTCTGATGTTGGTATTTGACAGAGAATGAGCGTCTTCCAAGCGAACTGGGCTGGACCAAGAAGGCGAGCCCAGTTACCCTCGAACAGATTGCCAGAATGTCAGAGTTGATCGCCAACGCTACGAACCTTCTCACCGGTGGTGATACTCCCGAGACAGTTGATCGTCGTGATCTTCACGGAGGCATGAGCTTTCTGAGGTAAACCTCATTGTAAGCTACAATCATATTGATTATGTTGCTTTAACAGTAGCTGTATCACTCTCCTGTGGCATACTCCGATGGAAGATAAGACCTCTTCGGCTTTGGGCCCTCTGCAAGTACAATTTGACTTAGCAAGAAGATCAGCCACATTCAGTCTGCTTTGAAGTACCATTTTTCTCGCTATACAGGTTCTGTGGGGTGATACCTCATTCGATGGTGGTAGCTAGGTATGAAAGGACTACATGATGATTATAGCTTGGCCAATTGAATCCCTACCAATGCAACTTGATATATTACCATGTATTTAAAACGCGGTACCACTGGCTCTTAAGCCAAATCGGAATTTGATTAGGTGCATGCAGTATTGTCATTTGATGATGAACGGCTTGTACAAGTGGTGTCGAGATGGGGCTTTCGGACTTCGGCGGAAGAGACGTGATTGGCTGAAGCAAAGAGGTTCGGTGGTGTAGCATCCAATCATTGATGTCCGGCCGAACTGGACAACTCATGGTGCCGGATTTTGACGGAGATGCTCCCGAGGCAAGGCTCTTTGGTGATTGCAGGTGCACCTGCATATTTGTACAAATATCTAGACTTCTCACTATCAAATCTATTTAAGGATATCCATTCCAAAGAAAACAAAAAACAAATGAGCAATATTTTAAGAACTATGTCTTCAGCTATTAAAATTCCCACTCGCCCGATGGGTAAAAACGGGCCACTCGTGCCTCGCATTGGCATGGGGTTAATGGGTGTTAGTGCCATCTATGGCTTGCCTGCTCCCACCCCCGATCGCCTGGCTCTTCTTGATAGAGCGTATGAGTTGGGAGACACTTTCTGGGACACTGGTAAGTTGATGTCCCTAAAAAAGCACCATTTTCGAGGAAATGTATCTCATTGCAAAATAGCGGACATGTATGGCGACTCCGAAGATCTCCTGGGTACGTGGTTCGCTGCCAACCCTGACAAACGCAAAGACATCTTCCTTGCAACCAAGTTCGCGGAACGCGGTATCGTCGATGGGAAGCCACGCATCGACTCGACCCCAGACTACTGCCGAGAAGCTATCGAAAAGTCACTGAAGCGCCTTGGCCTTCCATACGTCGACCTCTATTACATCCATCGCTTCGACAGGGTCACTCCTGTTGAGAAGACCATGGCTGTGATGATCGAGCTCAAGAATGCAGGTAAAATCCGCTATATTGGCCTTAGCGAGTGTAGTTCAACTACGCTACGTCGCGCGCATGCCATGCACCCGGTTACTGCCGTACAGATTGAGTACAGTCCGATTACTCTAGATATTGAGAGGAACAATCTTCTTGAAACAGCGCGCGAGCTCGGAGTTGCCATCGTCACTTATAGCCCACTGGGTCGTGGACTGTTGACTGGGCACCTTCGTAAGCAAGAGGATTGGTCCAAGGAAGGTGATTTCCGCCGTGTCATGCCATGGCTCAACGAGGAGAATTTCCCAAACAACCTGAAAATGGTCGACGAGCTGGCAGAGATTGCCAAGGCTAAGGGTGCAACGTTGACACAGCTGGTTCTTTCTTGGGTCTTGGCCCAGGGCGATGATATTTTCACTATTCCAGGGACTACGAAAGTCGGTCGCCTCGAGGAAAACCTAGGTTGTCTCAAGATCACCTTGTCGCCAGACGAGGAGAAGCAAATCCGTACGATCACAAGCAAGATTCAAGGCCCACGCTTCGGAAAACACGGCATGGAGATTGCTTTTGCAGATACACCTCCGTTGGAGTCGTCATAAAATTGGCCTCAACAGTGTAACGCGAGATTAATGGTAAAAATGCAATACAGTTCATTATCTTCAAAAACTCTAGCATGTGGCGTGCCTCAAAGCTTCACTAGGTGACGGTGATAGAGCTACCTCTTTGCCCAAGAGTACGATGTAGCCAATGCCAGGTTTGTTAGCTCGGAGTTAACTCAACTCCTATTGCTCGCAGGTTAGACTGTAAACTGTCAAGATTGGGCCTTGAAACTTCGATATAAGCAATGAGACTGATGTTGAAATGGAATGTCAATCATAGGTCTGCCCGACGGCGGATCAACCAGGAAGGATCCACTCCTGATGGACACATCGGACTGAAAGATGGTAGGCCCTTGGCGTCGATGTCTTCCTCGTTCTCACACTGTGACTCCTCTGCTACTAAAGGATGAGATAATTGTGGTTGTGCGGTCGCTATGTTGTCGGTCCTTGTCCCGAGGCAATTTGAGGTATCTCTGCGATCTAAAATACCGCCGAACTTAGTGTTGTTGTCCGCTTTATCGAGAAGGCCTGAGCTCGAGTTCTGGCAAGATGACTGGAGCTTCTTTGTTATTTGACGTGCAATGTGAATCGTGCCAACTGTAGGCACCATAAGCTCAATTCCGAGTTCGTTCCGTTCCATTATGCAGTCGATTTCTCCAACGGCTGGCGCCTCGCTCCAAACATCATATTCAGTCCCATCGGCTGCGTCTGCCTCGATTCCGAGCAGTGTGCTAAGGACTCGGACACATGATAGGTCCATGTCATCGGATCTGCGGTCGGCAAAAACCTGTAAGATCTCAATTACATTGTCTATCATTCCTAGATCACCCGGCCGTTGGTGCTCCAGCACATTGGCACGTTTGAGACGATGGCCATCAATGTGAGCTAATAGTAACGTAGTCGCGGAGATGAAGGCTTTGAAGTTGATACCTCGCGCAGAAAATGGAAGGAGCGTTGACCTAGAGAGGATAGGAAATCGGACGAGAGATTCTCGACTAGCGCTGAGAGCTGAGACCACGCTGTACGAGTAATCAGGCGTAGAACCTTCTTTTGCTGCTCGTGTACGGGGTCCCGGAATAACGTAGGGCGCATGTAGGGAGGTCAGTAGATTGTATTGATGGATTTGCAGGACTAGTCTCGCAGTGTCCTCTTTCGTCTCCATGTCGGGAGCTGCGTCGCGCATGGCTGGAACCGTCCACCATCTAGTCGGCATAATTCTCCCTGCTTGCTTCAGCTCAAAATCAATATTTTGGGTTTCCTGATAGTGGTCATATAATATCTCGCGCATTTCGTCTCCCACACGCATACAATCGTTACGGACAGCTATTCGCCTCATGATGGAGGCATGCAAGCGCTCCAACTTTTCCAAAGGCTGTTCTTTCAATAATCGCTCGGGCAATGCAAAACCGTCGTCCAAATTTGTGATCGGAAGTGAAAGCATCATTGAGAGAAAATGATTCAAGTACACGAGGCGAAACCAGATGAAATTTGCCTGTGGAGTCTCGCTAACCGTGTCTGGCGCCTCGGTTTGGGATCGCGATTGTGACGCATGAAGGCCAAGTAATTGCGCGACGCCCATGGCTCGACGAAAGACAAGCCATGCCAGCTTGTATTGGCCTGAGCTGAGGTGAAAGTGGCCCTCTAGCATAAGGGTTTCTAGGCCATCGAGTGAGACAATGAGCGGATCCTGAGAGGTCACATAGCTTGATGCAGCATTCATGAACCGTGTAGCAACATCGCGTATCGAGCCATCTAGGCACAATTGAGATGTATCCGACCCCGGATCCATCTGTTGGAGGCATATTGCTAATTGAATAAGCTTTCGAGCGAGAATAATTGGCTGAGCTGTTGGCTCGAGCGATTCTGAAAGACTGGGATGCTCCTCAGCGCCCGTCTGTTTGAGGAACGACATAAGCGGTTTGCGGAGCATCTGCAGAGGGAAGCTTTTAAACCTGCCTCTCCGCAGAATTTGCACGGCAATATGCGTGGGTGGTAGATAGGAATAGACAATTCGACTAAGCGAGAAGGGGCTCGATGACCCAAGGACGGGCTCATATCCTACAGAGTTGCACATGGACGACTCCCGTAGACGATCCGACTTGGTGACTTGACTTGACTCTTTCCGAACCAGAGGCAGCAGCTTTCTTGAGCGTGGAGGCTCACTGCTGAGTTTGCGAGATAGTGGCTGTCCCTTCCTGTCTTTTCCCTGATGAATTGCTGCCTTTCGACTTTTGACGGCAGAGGAGTTCTTAGAAGTCTGAGGTGATGTTGAAGACGCAATCGACAGCGCTTTCGGATCATGAATCAACTGGTCCACCATTGTTTCGACACGAACGATACCCTGTTCGACTTCGTGATAGCCATCATGATAGACATCGTAAGAACATTCCTCTTCCGGAACATCTTGAAGTACGCATCGGGTGCCTCGGCGCCGACAACAAACACATGCGCCGGTGAAATCAGAGTCGAAGTCACACCGGACTTTCCGGCGCTTGCATTCCCAGCAACTTGAAGTGCCTCTCCGTAGCTTTCGTCTCTTCGCAGCAGGTCTGTCGGCGTTCTCGCCGCTGATGCTCGTGACCTGCGACTTGAGTGAGGCAGACATTGACCCCGGCATTCCAGTCGGCGCGGTTGAAAACCCCGCGCCGCACCCTACAAAAGCATCAATAATCGAACGCGGCGTCAATGTTACTGCATCAGATGATATCCAGCACCAGACGTAGCCGCTTCTGTTAGATATGACGGCAGGTTGTCGGTCGTGTCTTTAGAATTATGACTGAAATCAAAGTCAGTGGCGACGATTAGAAAGTCGCGGTGTTTAGTGACATTAGCGAGTCAGGTGATGCTCATTACAAGCGCATCGGCAGCGAGTTTCAAGCACAGCAATGTTCAACGAAGTTAAAATGCTTTCAAATTAATTTACATGCATTGCTTTCCAATGATGCAGCTATGGTGATGCTTTAAGAGTATGTACAAGAAGGATAATAAATCAGATCCCGCTGTTCACCGCATGTTTTTCGACACTGCACTTATACACAGGTTACATCATCCATCAATTTCTTTCTTCTTGAATCAACGCCAAGTCGTGCCGGCAGTTGCAGCTGTGTCACAAGTGCTAGGAACTGTGTAGGAACGATTGGGGTCGCTCTCCCAAGTGACTGTTCCAGACGAGGAGACCTTGATGAACTTGTACTGGAATGTCTGGCCTGCCGCAAGCTTGACGGTGTATGTCCACAACGGATTAGAGCTGGTGTACTGCGATGCGGACAGCGCGGGAGCGGAGGAGGTGTCCCAGTTTCCAAGCGCGGCGATTGATCCCGCAATCTTGATCGTGTCGCCATAGTCTGTGGTCACAAGCTCATTAAACGTCACATCAACACTAGCGGCTGCAGTGCATGCAGATGTTGTCGTTGACGCTTTACTTGTGCTCGTGCTGGACGAAGCCTTGCTTGTCGCTGTCGAAAGTGTGGTGGGAGTGCTGCTCTTCGTGCTGCTCGAGGAAGACCCTGAGCCTCCCACAATGGCGATATCCGCACAAGAAAGGTACACCTGAGCTGTCTGGAAAGAATTCCATCGGAATGATAATAGAGTATGACCAGACACATAGTTTGGAATTTTGATCTTCTTGGTCACCGTGTACCCGCCGGAAATGGTTGTAGCGCACGAGCCCAGGGCCGCATTGTCAACTCCTTCGCATCCGCGCCTGTCATCAGCTTGGAAAGCGTTGCAAGTAAACCAATCATTACGCCAGCATGCCTGGCCTTCAGTGCAGTCTGGGCTGTAGTTGCAAGTTTGGCCCGAGACATCGGTGCAGGGGAGCGTCCCAGCTTCGAAGCAATTCTCAGCTGCTTGCTTCTCTGCATCCGTAGGCAAATAGCCTGGAGTCAAGAACTTGTTCACGAGATCCTGATCTTGACAGATTCGATAGCTGAACATGCCTCCATGGTCTCCGTCATGGTCGACGCACCATTGCACATCGACGACTTGCCCCGCGGTGTAGGTAGCTACCGTATTGGTTCCCCAGCTGGCTCCTGGCTGGTTGTAGTCGACACTAACACGTGCATTATAGCCACAAGGTCCGCTTCTTCCAACCTGGGCTTCGGTTACGTTAGGCCAAGCAGTGACCGGCTCAAGAATAGTGCATTCGGGACATGTATCGACTCCAGCCTGGGAAAACACGACATTAGATATTGCTTCTTCGCGCGTAATCATAGTGGATTGAATATTTCCCTGTCACCGAGGATGACATACCTCGTAATTTAGACGCGTGCGACTATACGGAATGGTTAAATAACCATGTCCATACACATAGGTCGCTAACGCAAGGGCCGAAAGGCTGTTGAAGGGTCTCATCTTGACGGATAGGCTTGGACAGATTGAAGCAGGATGCGAGTGACGATGTTGGGAAATTGAATATTTTCGTTCAATATATCCCTTCTTATATTCTCATCATCGCCAATCCCAGAATATTCAACATCAACAGACAACCCCTTCCCAGACTATAATCGGCGTCATTATCGGCGGCCTTGTATTGACGCCGAGACAGTTCTGCCGAGTGGTGTATCAACCTTGGATGACTACCGTAAGATGCGGGGGTTTCTGAGGCGCTCACGGGAGCTTCCATCCGTGCCCATCTTCAGTATCAAAGTTCTAGATAGTTTCTGATATGGTCACCGAGTGTCAACGGCATTGATGGGGCTCCCGTGGGGAAGCTCTGACCAGTGCGGAGAACCCTGTAGGGGTCAAGATCCATCACATCTTCGGCTGTTTTGTCGATTCGAGTCTTAGTCCCGAATTGGCAACCCGCCCAAAGCCCTACAACTCGGACCGACTTGGTATCGCTTACAGTAGCACGCGCTCAGGACGCCATGCGGCTGCTGTCAATACCGTGCCAAGGCCCCGAATCTCCCAGGGGTGCATCAACTTAGATGCAGAGCCACGAGAAACTCGGCTGTTTTACATGGTGGATCCTTGACCAACGGAGGCTGTGAGCCAATGACTTTTTAAGAAAGACTGTCACTCGTCATTCAGCGCGGCCGAGTACAACTCTGTTTCATGCAAGACTCCGACGAACTCCGCTCTATTGTAATGCCTCTTGGATTTTGACGAAAGACTATCGAAATGAGGTGTATAAGCCGCAGTCCAGAAGCCTCTCTGATGTGCGCCGGAGTGAGGTGTTGCCTCTAAAGCCTCCATCTCGTGGACAATGTGGAGCCGATCTACTAGATAGGAGGTCAGAGAGCAAAGGCGCACCGCGTGTCCCTACTCTTTAATGACTGTAAAGGGCCGAGACTAGCATCTAGCTGTTTATAAGGTGATATCGAACCAAAAGAAAACCTATGAAGACGTAATTCGGTCTTCAGCACGATGGCAATCCACAAAATATCAATATATTTGAGATCACATGAAAGCTCCATTTCAGTATCGATCGCCATCTGCCTACCGCCTATAGCGCTAAGGCGTTTTACAAAGGCCCATCTCTAGCGACTACCGTTCGTTCTCTTGGGGATGTTCACTTCGAGATGAGAGAAAATGAAGTTAAGGATTACACCTCTTCAGGCTAGCCCTGTGTGAAATGGAAGCTACAGTATGACAAGTCGGCTATACTGTGTCGTAGATTTCACGGAATATCCAGATTTATTCTTAGCCTAATCAAAGAGCATCAACGATACCTTCAGCTAAGAAGAATCCAACCAATCCTAGTGCTAAGCTTTTTGATCCAATAAACCGAACACCACCATTTGCCGGAACGGATGTCTGCGAAGCAGTTGACGAAGAAGTGCTCGTGGCACTAGTCACTGATGCGCTGGTCGAGTCATCGGAGTCGGAGCTAGAAGTCGAGGATGTCGCGGCCGTGGCGGTCGTTGCTGTTGTACCAGAATCAGAACTGTCGTCGTTGGGCGTTGGAGGAGCCTCTCCGGTAATGGCCTTGACCTTGGCCTTGTAGTCGGAATCGGAAATAGAGACAGTGCTCTTGCAAGAGCTTAGATCGTCAAAGCAGGTCACTTCTCCTGCGGAACAGTCACTGTTCCCACCAATACAGCACCAGGTTGTGCCGTCAGCCTTCATGACCCCTGGGCAACAGACTCTGCTCGTTTGCCCATTATTGTTTCCGACAATTTCGGTATATTCATCACCGCAGGCGCTGCTCTGTTCGCCACAACACTATTAGTGATATGTCATGGACTCGTGCTAACGGTGGCATTACTAACTCTCTGTTGAAGCGCGGCAATCCCAGACACACAAAGCGCGGTAAGTATTAAGCTAAAATAATAGCGCATAATGATTCCGACAAATTGTAGATTGTTGAGAAAGTCCAATGCCTTAAGTTTGTTGCTGAAGTGTATTCGTTTAAGCGGTGTGTACAGGAAGCTGAATATGTGAATCGACCTTGTTGTGCGAGGAGAACGCATCCCTTTATATATCGAAATGTCTGACTTGGCTTTGTGATCTGTTTATATCCTATTGATGTTTGTGATGACATACATGAAGCCTTGAAGCTTATTAATCTTAGTCTTTAGAGGAAATCAAGTCTTAGTGAGCCATCCTTGGACGATTCTGCGCTCTGTATTTCCTCGTTAGCACCTTGCCGACGCCGTTGAAAGCTCCTATTGGGCTAGCTCCGCAGGCTGAATAACGAGCTGCTAGCAGTTTCTTCATTTATTTTCCTACCTTAGGTAAGATAGATCTCGCTTGACCGCACTACCATAGCTTGGAGTGGCGGTGCCCCGGAAGGAGCCTGAGGAGAGCGAAAATAAACCTCAGCGCGTGGCACAGGCTCAATGGCTAATGTCTCCACTGCCCATGCTCTTGGTTGACCATGGTTTTCCCCCTCTCATGGCTTGCTTTAATTCCTTCGTTGTTATAGTAGCATTCTTTTTTCTTAACAACACGTTTCAGCTCGGTACTCCAATCTTCTTGGGGAATAGTGAAAGCCCAATCAACCCAATCGCCCAGTATAGCATGCGCCCTGGCTACCAACCCTAGATCTTTTCCCACTCTGCTAGGATTTAGGTTCGGACGCGAAAGATTCTCACCTAGAATCTCCTTTGCAGCTTGGATATTCTCAGACAGCTCCGTAAGGCTACTGATGCCTGTGATGGTGCAAACACGGAATGATCCCTGAGAAGCTAGATGGGCCCTCCAAACGGCATACCGCAACGCTAACGAGGCCAAGGATTCTCCTTGAGTGTCTGTGTAGGCGGCTAGCTCTTGAGCAGCCTTGCGGAGGCCACGAGGTGCTGGGTGAAAGTCCCCGAGCTTGCCCTGCGGGACACCTCCTTTGCGAAGAAGCCCGATTGTTAGAGGGCTAGAGCTGCAAATGCAACCCACGCCAGCCTCTTTGAAAGCTTTCAAGCCTTCAGACTCCAGCCGTGAGTTCTGCAAAGTCAATTGACCCCAATTCTGTATGACGTCAAGGGGTCTTCCAAAACGCTGTCGCACCTGTAAGGCTCGCTGAGATAACAGGTCGATGCGGTAACTTGATAAGCCGATGTGTCTGATTTTGCCCTCTTGAACAAGCTCTAGCAGCTCGCCAACAGCACCCAATACATCTTCATCCGTCACAGCTTCGATGTCGTGGCAGAATACCACATCTAGGTACGAAGTTCGGAGCCTCTCAAGTGATCTTAAGACTGACTTTCGTACCCAACTCGGAGAGTAATCGTACTGATCAGATGCAAGTCGACCAACTTTTGTCATCAGAATGTAGTCTGGCCTTGAATACTTTTCTGTAACTACCGGCTGTGCTAGCGCTTGTCCAAGCAATTGCTCGGAAGGCTCGTAGAATGGCGATGTGTCGATCGCCAGCATGCCATGATCGAACGCTTGTCTGATAATCTCGTGTACTGGAACAGATGCTGGATCTGGATGTGTCTGGTAACTGAAGCCAGCACCCCCGAGCACAAGAGGCGGCAGTGTTTGAGACAGAGGAGGATGCGGAGGTGAGGCCCTCATCTTCTAGACTGGACACAGTCTGTAACTTGCGACTGTTGAATGATGTCCCATGCGCCCAACAAGTCGATTAAACCCCTATACTTAAGTCTCACACAGCTCCCTTACAACCTACCTTAAAATTGATCATACAGCGCTTGAGATTTGTCTGGGTGCTCTTCACTAATAATGCCTAGACGAACCATCTCTCCCAATAGGAAGATGTCCCCGAAACAGAGGTCGAGAGAATCGGGGAATGCTGCCCGAGCTCTAAATTAGGGGACTAACCACCATATTCCCGCGGGGTACTCCCGCTGAACAGTAAATGTCATGGCATGGAGGAAGTGGGGGGCTTGTTGCTTTGATGATGAGAATTGAGAGTAAGGCTCAATTGAGCCAAGAAACCTTTCTCGCTCAAAGAACATATACTGGAATTAGACATCGTACCCAACATGGCGGCCTCAAAAGAATATCCTCGTATTGTCGCAGTGAGGACGTTCCTTGTCGCGCCCGACCCACGGAAATCGGAGGCGGACAAGCCTGGGCACTGGCTTTACTATCAAGAGATTGCCAACCCGATGTCCAAGTACTCCATATATAAAGACCGCCGCGAAAGCTGGGGAGTCGATGTGTTGAAAGACTTCTGTGTCGAGATCGAGGCCTCAAATGGCACGAAAGGCTTCGCCATAGGCCATGGAGGGTTTGTCGGCTGTTTCTTGACAGAGCAGCATTTCAAGCGGTTTCTCATCGATGCCGACCCCCGGGATACGAATTTAATATGGGACCAAATGTACCGTGGCTCACAGCATTACGGGCGCCGGGGTATTACCATGATGATCATCAGTGTGATTGATCTGGCTCTATGGGATTTGTTGGGCAAGATTCGCGGAGAGCCCGTGTACAAGATGATAGGAGGTCAAACTAAGGACCGACTGGCTGCGTATTGCACTGGCCCAAACCCAGACATCGCTCGAGAGCAAGGCTTTTGGGGAGGCAAAGTGCCATTGCCTTACAGTCCCAGCGAGCCAAACAGCTTACAGAAGAATTACGATGTCCTCGCTGCCCATCGAAAGAAAGCTGGCCCAGAGTTTCCTCTCATGGTCGACTGTTATATGTCGCTCAATATTCCATATGCCATCAAGCTCATAAACAAGTGTGCTGACCTGGATATCGAGTGGTGGGAAGAAGTTCTCAGTCCGGATGATCATGAGGGTTACGGCCAACTGCGACAGGCATTGCCGCACGTCCGGTGGGCCACTGGCGAGCATGAGTACACGCGATGGGGGTTCCGCAAGCTAATTGAAAACCGTTTGCTTGATGTCCTCCAGCCCGACGTCATGTGGTGCGGTGGAATGACTGAGCTTGTTAGGATAGCAACGCATGCAGCTGCCTACGATATCGATATTGTTCCTCATGGGACCAGTCATTACACTGTCCATTTTTGCATGTCACAGCAGAACGCACCACTAATTGAGTATGTCGCTTACTCGCCAGACGGTCGCAATGTTGGGCCGGTACATGGTGACTTCTTCATCAAGGAGCCTTTGCCGACGGGTGGTCTCGTGGAGACGAAGGAATTTGACAAACCGGGCTTCGGCCTCGAAATCAGTCCGCATGTCAAGCTTGTGCCAGCGGAAGAGTTGCTCAAACCTTTCTATGACATATTTGGGAAGCAACAACGAGCATTATCTGTACACGCAAATTAAACTGAATCAGAATATATTACTGCTAATAGCTCATTAAAGTCTACATTTCAATATCCATAAGTTCCATTTTCTCCGCCTCATAATGCCCATGTTGACGACCCCTGTTTAGTACCCATCCGATATTTGAACGAGATTCAGTAGCTCTTTTTGCTCGTGTAATCGCTCCACGTTCTCGTTAAGAATATCTATCGTGCGAGGCATATACTCATCTGACACGCCCGAGATGTGTGGAGTGACAATCGCGTTCTTAGCAGTCCACAATGGATGTCCATCCGGCAGGGGCTCCGGGTCTGTCACGTCGAGCGCAGCGCCGCGCAGCGTGTTGTTATTCAGCGCTTCTACTAGGTCATCGGTCTTGATGATGTCCCCACGGGCAAGATTGATAACATAACATCCTTTGAGCTTCGCGAATTGTGCCTTGCCGAGGGAACGGCGCGTCCTGTCAGTCGATGGCAGCGAGATTACAAGGACATCGATGGGAAGCGACAAGAAATCCTCTAGTTCGCCCGAATGCCACTCCTCAGGGATTTCGCCAAGGGGGTCTCCCGTATGCTTGGGCGTGAAAGTCTTGCTTTCCCTCTGTTCAGACGTCGTCTTCTCGTGCAACGTGTACGCTATGACGCGCATCCCACAAGCTGAGGCGATACGGGCTGTGTGCCGGGCAATTGCACCATAGCCCAAGAATGCAATTGTTTTCCCAAGAAGATCGCCGCGAGGCTGGTAGCTCTGTGCTTGCCAGATACTAGACTCTTGCCACTTCAGCAGCGTGGGTATCTGACGATAGTAGGCCAAAAGAGTTGCTGTCGCCCATTCCGCGATCTGAGGAGCATGGACCCCGCCATTGCGTGTCCAGATTATCTCTTTGCTTTGGAGCAGTGGTGCGTCAAGCGCCTGGTTGATGCCGCCGCTGTAAAGGTGCACCCATTTCAGCGAAGGTACTTGCTCACGGGTCCTGGGGAATAAGTATAAGGTGAGATGAATGGTGGCCTTGGCCCAAATATTTGGGGGGACAACATCGACATCCTTTGTGTTATAGTGAAGGATTTCTACGCCTGGCTGCAGCTCCTTGAGCCTCGCATAGCTATCGTTGAATGGTTCAAAGGGAATTGTAACTAGCAGCGTTTCACGATTCGCCATCGGGGTTGACACAATTCATTGATGCTTGAATTACGCTCGCACATGCCAGTATCGAAGAAGAGCCTCCTGTCCTATCACATTCTTATTGATCTTCGAGAGCTAGATCATGCACAGGGCCTTTCTAGTCGAAGCCCTGAGCTGGAGGTATGGTCATCTGGTCAAGTGCGGGGTGATGCTGTTAACGGGCTTTTGTCAGTAAAATGTCATTGAAGGTAGGCGGATCACAGTGCAGGCCGGAGCAAAATTCCTCGTTCGGGTATCCAGACTTAATAGCTCAACCTTGGAGAGAGTGGTGGTCTTTAAGGTGTTTCGTGAATGTGTCGTTGGTCCAGGCATATGTCATAAATTAAGAATGCATTTCATTTGCCTTATCTCATCTTCAAGAGATTCGAGTTCCCGAAGACACTGAGTAGAGCCTGTAATCCAGGTCTACGTCCACCAGGAAGACCACCAACCAGACGAGCCTTCTCGTCATCCGGCAACCTATGGCTCCCGACTCACCTTTGTCTCTTGCCGAGATTGAGGCCATTGCCTTGAAGAAGGTCAATAAGATCACTCGAGAATACTGGATGGATGGCGCCGGCGAGGGCCAAACGGTTCGAGAAAACGCATTAGCTTTCAACCAATACCGGATCCGCCCCAGGGTCTTGCGCGATGTCAAGGAGATCGACATGTCAACCACAGTGCTGGGCCAAAAAGTCAGCATCCCAGTAGGGATCGCACCATCAGGATGGCACAAGATGGCCAACCCAGCGGGCGAAGCTGCAACGGCTCGCGCAGCAAAGACATTAGGGACGATAATGGGCGTGTCAATGGGCACCAGCCTAGGCGCCCCTGACGAAGTGTGCTCTCCCGAAGAAGTGAAAACAGCCGGCAGTAGCGCTGTCAAGTTCTTCCAGCTCTACATGTTCAAGAACAGGGGGTTCACCAAAAGACTGCTGGAGCGAGTGGAGAAGGCGGGGTTTGAGGCGGTCATGCTCACTGTTGACACTGCTGTCGTTGGCAGACGCATTGCCGAGATCCGAAATCGACCCTCCCTACCCCGATTCTTGAGAGTTATCAGCTTTGGGACACAGCTTGCTGCTGATATGGCCTCTTCCAGTGAAGGGGATGGTTCCCTAACCATTGACTCCAGCCTGGTTTGGGACGAAGTCATCCCGTGGCTCCGGGCTAATACCAAGATGCAAATATGGCTCAAAGGTGTTCAAACAGCTGAAGATGCAGCGCTGGCATTGAACCACAAGGTCGATGGCATTATTGTCAGTAATCATGGAGGGCGTCAACTGGACTGGGGCGTAGCTACGTTGGATGCTCTGCCAGAGATTGTTGCTACGGTCAATGGCAGCATTCCTGTGCACCTGGATGGCGGCATCAGACGCGGAGCAGACGTCTTTCGCGCCCTAGCCTTAGGGGCCGACTTCGTGTGGATGGGCCGGCCAGTGTTATGGGGGTTGTCTTACGATGGACAGCGGGGCGTGGAGCTCATGCTGGAAATCTTGCGAGAGGAATTGAAGGTCTGTATGGGTCTGGCAGGATGCGTTTCAACTGAGAACATTAACTCTACGTGTCTTTTCCGTAGGCCAATCGTGCCAGCCATGTTGTAGAGAGTGTAGACAGCGTCGTAATGGCAAAATTGCCAGTCGAAGACGATCTACTCTCTCATCTAATACAGCACATCTGGTGCCAATGTAGTCACTAGCCCACAGACCAACTTTTGCGATGGATGATGACTCCCAGTGGGCAGGCAAGACAGGGTCCCCTCTAAATCAACAGCTTCTGCTTGTGGAAGACTTGGGGATGGTACCCGTCGGGCTAAATGCAGCCGACGGAACCGAGGTGAGGTTTGTACGTACATTATGACGCCCATTTTGGCTCATTAGTTTCTATGTACTAATTAACCCCCCGCATGGAGAAACCTCCCGCATCTATAGGAGTGCGGGGATAAGGGTCGAGATTTGGTGACACACGTGAACAGAGTGACAGGCACACCAACGATACGCCAAGATGAGCCAGGCCAATCTTGGTTCGGGCTGAATTCCCATTGTTAGTAGCTCAATAAAACACCATTAAAAGTGGCAATGTCTCCCGCATTCCCCATCAAGCATATTTGTCCGGCGTTTGCCATAGATGCTACCTCCACTCTGTTTTCGCCAGAGGATCAAGTGCTAAGTCGATGGCGGACGTGCAACGGCCTCGTTTCATACGCGGTTGGTAAGTGTTGCAGCTGGAGCATGTGCGCCGGAATGTTCAGGGTGCTAACAGGTGCTCCGAGGGTAGTGAGGCTTGCCGAGTAGCTCATGCAAGATGTAAGTCATGCCCAGATTGTGGCACAAGTACTTCTAAAGGTTCCACTTGAACTATTTGCTTCAAGAGAAAGCCATTGCTGACATTTGGCCCTGTCTAGGTGATACTCAGCTCCCTTCGTGTGCTCGGTGCCTGCTCTTGAAGAGAGAGTGCATGCGGGAAGTTCCCTTCCCGTTTCGTCATAGCAATCCTCTCGGTGTTTCTAAAGATTCAGGGGATCAAATTTCAGACTCAAAAGCGGAATTCGAGTTTGCAGAGGATCAAGTGTGGGTGGCACCACCAATTGACGGTGAGAAGTCTTTCCATTCTTGGTGATACTATTCAGGCACATCCTGATGAGACTAATATTTCAATAGTTGAGTTCGTTTTTGAATATCTTCCAGTCGATGATGATTGTGATAGAGATCCCACGACCCCAACAACACTAGGCTACCCACCTATAACACTAGACCCATTGATACCGAATTCCCCCTCCCCTGATGCCATAGTTAGTAGAACTCAAGGGTCAAGTATTCTTCCCACGTCCCGGGATTGGGATGGCAGAATATGGACACCACAGCAAACCGGCACGGTGTTGGTGGACACACCGGCAGCTGGCCCCGTCTCTACCGGCCCGGAGTTCAGCACTTCGTACTCTCCTAGCACGTCACGGGGGCTGCCACCAAGTCCAGATTCGTTGGCCTTCGGCCGGCGCCATTGGCCGCTTGCTGATGAACAAGAAGCAGTATTGTTACGATATTTCGTCTCTGACCTTTCAAAATGGGTAAGCTCATCTTGTTTCATCACCGGGATAACAGTCTTTAAAACCCGATCAAGTTCGATTACTGCGACCCTCATAATACGTTTGCAACCTCAGTAGTACAATGTGCAATAACGTCACGTCCGCTTCTCTTTGCTATTCTTGCAGCATCAGCACGCCACATGAGCATTATCAACGGCCGTGATGGACACGTCGCAGATCGCTATCATCGAGAATGCCTATCGCTATTGATCCCGGTTCTTGACCAAAGCAATGCCGCCCTTGATGCAGCCCTGTTCGCTGCTACTGTTATATTGCGCGTATACGAGGAAATATCAGGTATGTATGTCTTGTTTCATTGTCGCCAAGCATATTATCTACTGGAGGGACTTTGAACTCAAGTGGAATTCTCTGTCAGTACCATTTGCGGGCCAAGACTTCGAAAACCATTTGATGGGAACACATACATTTGTGCGGGCACAGGAATTCCATCATCCGTCTGGCATCAGACAAGCTGTTTTCTTGGTTGTGCTTCGGCAAGAAATCGTCATCGCCTTCCGTACCCAGAGACCAGTACAGTTGTTGCGAGAATACATCCAGGTGGACCAATCCCTAGATAAAGGAGATGATTGGATCATAGTGTTCCACATCATTGTCCTCTGTGCTGAGGTCTTAAATCACTGTTATGGAGAGGAGTCCAAGTCCCCTGAAGCCTGGAGAGAACTTTCCGACCGAGCCAAGCTGTGGATGGACACCAAACCCACCCACTTCGAACCGCTCCTCTACCGCCCTAGGGGCGAGTCATCCGCAGCCCAGGTGTTTCCAGAGATATGGCTTCTAAATGACTGTCAGAGTAAGTCGCTCTACTAAAAATCTTAGATTGAGAGCGCACTGATTTGAACCTTCATTCGTTCCCAATCAATAGTTGCCGCTCATCAGCACTATTATATCTGCCAAATTCTACTCGTTGCCCATAATCCCAAGAAACCTCAGCTAGGTCCGGGTCGCGCTGAGGCTGTGGAAGCTACAAATGTCAGTACCCATTTCCTTGCTCAAGTCGGGACTGGCTTCACAGGGAATTAGTATGTCTTCTAATGTTAATCCAGACTATTGTACGAGACCATGTTAGAATAGTATGTGGTATTGCGTTGTCAAATCCTGACTACATCCCATCCATGTTCACAGCAAGCCTGGTAATCGGAATTAGTAAGCTGAAGAATTTCTCTCACTCTCTTTTTTTTTTCCAGAGGATAATGACATGATTCTGACGATGCTTTTGACTGTAGCTGGGGACCTTTTTTCTGAGTACAAGGAACAACGGGCTATGATGGACATCTTGATCAAAACGGACACGGAACTGGCTTGGCCAACGGCTAGTTTACAGGCCTATCTTCATGACAAGTGGGGCTGGTGTTGATTGCTGCTTTCTTTATATACTAAGTTGGTACATTTCGCATGAAAGAATAGTTCGATTCTATGAGTGTGTCGCCAATGAGCGCGACAAAGTTTCTCCTTTCTACAACTGTGAAGAATTCTCCCTTCTATTGGCTACACTCCGTCCCCAACCCTGAATTGCTTGGACCACCGCTAGTTGTTACTGTTAGCTTGGATCATATACCACCGAAGTAGAGGATCCTGAACCTACCTCATCCCATGGTCTGGAAGAATCGACAAACCTTAAATCTGTTGCAAGACGAATGACGTTGTTAGGGTCATGGTTAACAGTTGAGGCATGGATCATGTACGAGCTATGCAACACGACATCTCCAGCTTTGTAGTCAGTGACAAGCCATCGGCGCTTGTAAGTACGTGCGAACTCTGCCGGTCCATCCGTCAAGACACCACTCTCCAACATATTCTTGTTGAATGCTGATTTTGCCTCCTCGTCTGATAGACCGATCGCCTTTGATTTAGCTGTGAAATCGTCTTCAAACTCTTTACCAAGGGCATGGCCTGAAACGGCAACAAGTCAGTCTCTAACGGTCTAGATATGGCGTCAAGATCATAACCATACCATTTTCCAAGTATATCAATCCACCGCCGGTGATGCTGACGTCACCAATTGGAACCCAAACAGTCACGCTAGTAGGCTCGCCATAACGAAGAAATATTTGGTCATAATGCACACCGATGGCTTTCGTGTTAGGGATGTTGTTCCTCAATAGAGTCCGCTCGAGTGGTCGGCTTTTAGATGCCCAATTTGTGAAGCGGGCCATGAAGTCAAGCATAACGGGATGTTTGCAGAGGTCCTGGGAGTACCAGTCTTGGCCATGGGCGTCTATGGCTAGATCAACAAAGTCCCTGGATTGTTTGCCAGGTTCTGCGCTCGAGTCTACCCTTCCAACTCCGATGCCCGGAAACTGATCAATATTCTTCGTGGAGTCATATATCCCCTGAATAGGAGACGTTCCCGGCTTTAAGACGCCACTGGGTGCTAGGAACTCAAAGTACTTTTCCCGTGCTCTGAGTACGTCTTCTCGGGGTAAGAGGCCTTTCAGGTAAAGATAGCCGTTCGACTTAAAGCGCTGTCTTAGCTCTTCAAGTGAGAGGCTGGGGTCCGACGGTTCTAGGCGGGCAACTTCGGAAGGATCAAGCGGGCCATCGTTTACAAAGAGCTGCTTTTCTAAAAAGTGTGGCATTATGATCTATCAGTAGAGACTTAATCATCAAGGGGGATATGAAGGATGTCCGTTGAGTCGTGATACCACTCAGGCTGTATTTGAAGTTCAAACCTCGCGGAACATATTGAACAACGTACGGTTTGGCTTGTAGACAGAATTGGTTAAAGACCGCATTGCTTGAATCTGAATTAAACGAACTTCTTCTGTTACTCGCAGATACATAAGCTAGCCCTCTGCATTTGTCTATCAGCCATAGTCCTACTAGCCTACTGAGGCTGCTTTGATACGACCTGGTATCTGTTAGGAGAAAATTCCCTAATCGGATTTGACTAAAGACAACCAACCCCGCACCATAATCACCACGCACAATCCCTAGGAACTTGAGCTTGTGAAACAGAAGTGAATCAAGTAATAATTTACGGGCGAGGTGATTGTGTCTTTGAACATCTAGATAACCGACAGGAATCCGGGGTAACTGTGGGGTACATCTAGGGCTTATAAAACGTCGGCGAGTAAAGCTCAAACCCAGCTTGCTCAATACTGCAAGTTACTCAGAAGCTCATTCGTCTTTTCTTACTTAATTACTCCAGCAATCATTATGGGGACCGCAAAACCAGACGTGACAATGGCGGAAGACTCTAAGCTTGAAAGACAAGAGTCCAACGTTGTGGCCGACGTCAAACACCTCGAGACTGCCGCGGACGAAGCTACCAATCTCGAACACACTCTCTCGGTGACAGAGGCTTTCTCTACATACCCCATGGCTGTCGTCTGGTCTGTACTCTTCTGTGTATGTATTATCATGGACGGCTACGACTCGGATCTAATCACCAACTTTTATGGTCTCCCAGCTTTCCAGCGCAAGTACGGGTATCTCTATAAAGACTCTTACGTTGTTGCAGCGCCGTGGCAGACTGCTCTAGCTATGAGTTCACCCGTCGGACGCGTTATTGGAGGCGCCATCCAGGGATATGTTGCAGAGTGGTTCGGCCGCAAGAAGACACTTATTTTCTGTCTCTTTCTCCTCAGCGGCTTCATCTTTATCACATTCTTTGCCCAAAATAATGCAGTCCTATTGGTTGGTGAGATGCTATGTGGTACCATCTGGGGCATCCTTACCTCCCTCGCTCCAACTTACGCATCTGAAATTTGTCCGCTTCGGCTACGAGATATTCTGACCGCATACGTCAATCTTTGCTGGTCAATCGGCATTCTGATCGCATCAGGGGTGCTCGCTGGGTATTCAAGCAATGCTACTCAGTGGGCATACCGCATTCCATTCGCACTTCAGTGGATGTGGCCCGTCATTATCTTCACCTTCATTTTCTGGGCCCCTGAGTCCCCCTATTGGCTGGTTCGCCAGGGGAAGATTGACGAAGCCAGATCAGTACTGCAAAGACTCATTCGCAGATCCCACAAGGTCGATACGGAGCAAATGCTTGCACTGATTCGCCGCACCAATGAGCGCGAAGAGGAGTATCAAACCAATACTAGCTATTTGGATTGTTTTAAGGGACCAAATCTTCGACGCACGGAAATATCCGCCATGGCTTGGGCTATACAAATTCTTTCAGGTCTATCTCTACCATTTTATGCAATTGTGTTCTTTGAGTTGGCTGGCTTCCCAACATCCCAAGCTTTCAACATGAACGTGGGGATGACAGCCCTCGGTTTTATGGGAACCTGCCTCTCCTTCTTCCTCATTCCTCGCTTCGGAAGGCGGACTCTTTACTTTGGCGGTCTTTGCACCTTGACTTGTTTGATGCTACTTATCGGTTTCATGGGCATAGCTCCTAATCGACCTGCGATTGTCAACGCCGAGGCAGCCTTGTTGATTGTTTGGTTCTTCATCTACTTCCTGACGGTCGGTCCAGTGGCTTATGTTATCTTCTCTGAGACCTCAGCCACTCGTCTCCGAGGTCCAACAGTGGCCATTGCCCTTATCGCGTATAGCTGTCTTGGTATTGTAGTAAGTTGACTCTCAATCTGTCTTCAGCCCCTCTTCCTTCCAAGAACACAAATCCAATTTGATGAGCTTTCAAAGGAAACCAATTCTAATTGCATCCCTTGTAGTACAATGTCGCCTCACCGTACCTACTTAACAGCACGGAGGCCAACTTGGGTGCCAAGACGGGTTTGATCTATGGAAGCATCTCTCTGTTGTCCTGTATTTGGGTGTACTTCCGGCTGCCGGAATGCAAGGGTCGCACATTTGAGGAACTTGACATCATGTTTGAACGCAAGGTTCCTACTCAACAGTTTAAAGACTATGTCATTTAAAAATGGAATTACATGGGCTGTCAGGATTTGTAGCTGTCGCATTATTTGAGGTATGGCCGAAGACCGCATACGAAAGCGATGTTATCGCTGCAATCGAGGTCATCTTTGTTGCTAGTCTTCTAGGCTCCTGATTCGCTGTGCTTTTTGGAAAATATCGTTCGATAGATAAAGCAAATAGCGATTGAACCGACATTACTTGAAGACTAATGTTTTCAGAGGACAGCTCATGAATAAATAGAGCAACCAAACAAATTTCATTCAGGGGTTGGGTCCCGAATCCTCGATTTATCCGGCACAAACGCCACTGTAGCGCCCTGGTCATATCCATACATAGACTCAATGGTGGGCTTTCATAATTTCAAGCAGTTCTAGCTGCATGAAATTACAGCAAGCGCTGGTGTAGGACCCATCAAATCACATAAGTGCGCCGAAGCCGGTTGCCAACACAAATGCAGTGCGAGTCGCACGTACAATCGACCTAAGTATTCTAGATAATTGGTGCCGCACGAATTAAAGAGACTCCCGTACTCTATTACAAAAATTTCCACATGCTACCGATGTATAGCACGGGGAAGCCGGGGCGCGGTGCTGAATGCGATAGCACATTTTTCCCTCAAAGAGCCGAAAAGATGGGGTGATTAACGGGCTGGCCGTGTGGGCCACGATTATTTTCGTCCGCCGAAATAGGCCACGAGGCCCCTAATGGCCGGTAGGTAGTAGGGAACACAACTCCGCCTTGGGGTGGTGTGGGTACGACATATCTAAGACAATGGTGATAAGCGGCTATGATACTCCTAAAATGGCATCGTGAGTTCGAATCTACCGTCTCTTTATCCTAACTCCCTAATAAGACGTTTATTTTGGCAAAAGCGAAAAGTCTGAGACACATCAGTTGTAAGCAGATTCTAAGACACGGGAAGTGGAGTGGGCACGGGCAGTGATAAACGTGTGGTCGGAAAAATGAGTCGCTGCCGGAACAGGGACTCAGTAGCGATACAAGCTCGATAATTTTCCTCTGTTGGTCACACATCTTTGCGCTGCGTGTCTTTGCCCATCATGAATGACGAGTCGTGCATTCAAGAGGCTGCCTCGGTTGACGATGTTGGCTAGGCTGTTCGCGCCTCTCTTTCAGCTTGGATACGACAGTGTCTTTACCGAGAACGTCCTGCTGTGATGGCCAGATTCGCCTGTCCTCCCAGAGCGCTCAGCCGCAAATCGACGTGCTGATAGCGCTAGAGCGATCTATTGAAATAGACCATCGTTGCGTGCCCAGTGGCTAGGCGACGTTCTGAAGCGAAGCCGCACCGGCCAAGCCCAGTTGGGGTACAGGGCCGGCCAGCTCTTCACATTTACTGCCGCATCTGAGAAAAATTTGGGACGGCATCGTGTTAGCGCCTCGGTTCCGTGGTCCAACGGTCCCACGGCCTCGGGAGTGGAAATGCTTAAAGGGATTAGCGCGCCCGGTGCCAGTGTACTGGTTCCTTATCTCATTGGTGGAATATTGCGCATCGCTCCGCAAAACACGTGGTGGAGTGTCATGCTAGCCTTGAAACTATTGATTCGATCGGCTCTCCTGGCCACGCAGACCTCTAGCTGCTGGACCGTTCTAGCTTTCTGCATGTCGATTGCCTCCTTGACTTTTTTTCTTGTCTGACGCAAATTTCATGATTGTCAGTACTTTGTGCGGTGATTTGAGCTATGTGAAGAAGTAAATACTGTCATGACAGAGCAGCCGCTACGTATCCCGCTCAGGGGTGATACACAAGCGGCGCTTATTTGGGCCTGATGAAGAAGTACGGTGTACCTCAGATTGCCCATCTAAGTATGATGATATGCCACGTATGCTTTTGAACCGAAAGTCGCGTCTACTTACAGTAGTTCGTGGTCCTGTGGTCCATCTATGAGCCTAACCCTGTCTACTTCAGCCAGCTATGCAGTAGTTGTCATGTACCCCAAACCTCGGTCTCGCGACGCTATTCAAGTGTCTTCAGAAAGAAGCTGCTCAATTGATCAAAATGAACTAACCCATCTTGTCAAGCTAGACCACTGGCTCGGCGCTTCTGAGTAAGGCTGCAGGGATATCGCAGTGATATGGTAGGACATCGATTGATCTCGCCTCTGTATATCAAGCTGGGACCCACAGGGGCTAGCTGTATCACGACAGCTTGCACAGATCTCGAAAATTGTCGAAGTCGATCTGAATCTGGACCCCGGGCCTCGATTGGCGTCATTCAGCTGCTGGCCCTGACAGCCGGATCTCACCGATCATGGACCCCTGGTGGCGGGCTAACGAGACGGCGGTTCTTGGTTATATGATCACCCCGTGTTCCCATGTCGCGAAATTCTATCTACCGGTGATGCTTCTCTGCTCCGGCACGATTTGAGATTGGAACGAGTAGGCAAGGTGGTCTGGAGTCACGATGGCCAAGATGCTCTCATCCCTCTTGCTGCTGCTCCTTGTGGGCCAGAGCATCGCAGAACAAGGTGCGATTACCTCAGTCGTCACTTCACCAGCCGTCAAAGCTTGCCGAGCGCGCGCCCCTTCCGTCTCTGTTGTATCGCAAAACGCTGATGTTGACGTTCGCGCTACTATAGCCTCAAGTTCAAGCTCCAGCACCGATTCTTCTCTTACTTCGAGTGCCACAACTTCGAGCACCTCGTCTTACATAATACCGACGAGCACATCAACATCAAGCAGCTCTATCTCGACGAGCTCGACATCGAGTGGTATGTCGATCTTAGCGCCTTGCGAGGATTCTGCTAATGAGCATATCTATAGCCTCATCATCTGCCGTGACAGTTGCCACGGACGGAAGTGGTCAGTACACGGCAATTGGTGCCGCCATCCTGTACGCCCAGAGCCATGGAGTTCCCACAGTCACCATCAAGGCTGGAACATATACGGAGACTGTCTTGATTCAAGCTACTGCGGCGGTGACTATTGTAGGAGAGTCCAGCAACTCAGATGATTATTCCTCGAACTTGGTGACAATCTCATCAAACACCGGATTGCCTCTTTCTTATTCGGTGGCCGCCAAAGGTCTTGCCTGGAAGAATATCAACTTTTTCAACACAAATGCCACTTCTACAGCAGGCACTGTTTACCTCCGTGGATCTCAAAATGCCTTCTACTCTTGCCAATTTGTATCTCAGGGGACATTCGGCATCAGCAGCAACTACGCATCGGGTCTCATCGCGAACTCCTATCTTGAGGCAGCGGACAAGGTCATATCTACTTACCCTTCGCTCTATATTTACGGCTCGACCATCACGGCTACGAGCAAGAACGCTCTTCTGGTCTATAACAAGGGTGCTACTTATGGAACAGTTCAATATAACTCGACAATTGTATTCGACACCTGCTCTGTCATACAAAAGGCTGGAACGACAAATACCTATGTGTACATGGCTTCTGCTAATGGAGCTGGTTCTGTTGTTGTGTACCGAAACACGGCTCTAGCCAGTCTCATTGCTGCAACCGGTGCCCACGTTGACACAGTCACACAGAATACGTTGAACGCCTACTTCGAATACCTGACCACGGGAGCTGGTAGCTATCAGAACAACCAGGCTTCTCGCTCTCCATATGTGAAATTGGTCACAGATGCGGCACAGCTGGCACCTTACGGACTAGCGAACTTCTTTGCGAACGCCTACCCTTCTGTTGCAACCACTAGCATTACATGGATTGACCCGAATGTGTTGAGCACCATTCAGGCTAGCGACGCAGCACAGGCAGCCCAAGGAAGCGGTTCTACTACTAGCTCAAGTTCAAGCTCCAGTTCAAGCTCGACATCAAGCTCAACGTCCAGCTCGACCTCAAGCTCAATCTCAAGTTCAACTTCGAGTTCTGACTCGAGCCTGAGCTCCAGCTCCAGTTCAACCCAAGCCACGACACTATTGACATTGACTTCTTCGAGCACGAGCTCTTCAGTGACTTCTACCTCGACATCGTCATCGTCTTCAGTGGTATATGTTTCTTCTACCAGCCAAACCTCATCCAGCGCTGTATCCACCGCGACGGGATGCTCTCTGCCATCTTCGGTGCCCAGTACCGCACGTATTGTTGGCCCGGCTGGCTCGTGCGCCAATTACACGACCATCTCGGCTGCTGTCGCGGACTTGCCGCTCGACTCGACCACTGGATACATCTACATTCTAGCCGGCGTCTATAATGAGCAGGTTGTGTTTCCTAATGCTAGAACGGGAGCGACGACTTTCCGTGGAGAGTCGGCTAGCCCGTTAGTGCGGTCCGGAAACACCGTCACCATCCGGACTACTGGCGCTGTTCTGTCGAGTGCTGGAGGTTCCGCCGCCACTGGCGCATTCCAGTCAACCCAGTACTATACGAACCAGATTACATTCTATAACATCGACTTCGAGAACAACTACACGCCTACGACGAACTATCAGGCGGTTGCTGTGTCGATCAAGGCGAAGAAGGCCGCATTCTATAACTGCAACATCGAGTCATCTCAGGGGACTCTGCTCTTGAACTACGGCTCCTTCTACTTCTCTAACTGCAAGATTTCTGGAACCCAGGACTGGGTGTGGGGTCAAGGACTGTCTTACATCTATAATTCCGAGATTGTGGAGACCAGCACCAGCACTGGCCAAACCATTGCCGCCCAGCAGTATCAGACATCAGTTGGCAGCTCGGGGATTGTGTTTGATCACTGCGCGGTCGTTCCCGAGTCCTCATCGGTGCCGACGGGTGCAACATACCTTGGAAGAGATTATTCCCTTACTGCTCACGTCGCATATGTGAACTCCTACCTTGATAATCACATTGCCGCGATCGGGTGGAAGATCTCGTCCTCAAGCTCTTCTCCTGTCTTTGTGGAGTCAAACAATACTGGTCCTGGATCATCCACTACTTCAAGGAGCTCCAGCGTTCAAGTGCTCTCTGACTCCTCGTCCTACTCTGCTGCCAGTGTTCTAGGAGATGTCAGCTGGCTCGACTCAAGTGCCATCGCCCCTTTCTCGGGATTCCCGGATTCTGTCTACTCGAAAACTGCGACGACAAGCTCTTCTACATCCTCAACGGCAACTTCGACGTCAACTTCAGCTGCTGTGGCAACGACTGCGACCTCAGCGTCGGCAATTTATACCGTGGCGCCTACTCCCACCGGTAGCCAATATGGCTCCGTGATGTCTGCGGTGGCGGCCCTCCCCAGCGACGGGAAAGCCTATACCATTTACATTTTAGCTGGCACTTATAACGAGCAGGTGTGGGTCAATCGCACTGGCATGGTCACGTTGCGGGGCGAGACGAGTTATCCCAACGATTACTCTCAAAACTTGGTGACAATTCAGTTCAAATATGGTGTCCTCACCAGCGCCAACCAGAACGAACTCACGCCTGTAATCAACGCAAAAAAGACCGACGGCTCTGGTTTAGCTCTCTATAACATTGATTTCACCAATACCTATCCTCAGACATCGAATACCGCCGCGCTAGCGGCCGACTTCTACGGCAAAAATATGGCGGCCTACGGATGCTCCTTCAAAGGCTTCCAGGACACCCTCCTTGCCAACCAAGGTGTTCAGCTATTCAGTAACTGCTATATTGAGGGCAGCATTGACTATATTTTTGGATATTCCAAGGCCTACTTCCATCAGTGTTACATTGCAAGCAATACTGCTGGATATATCACTGCCCAGAACCGTCCGACCAATGTGTGGCCCGGCGGCTATGTTTTCGACTCTTGCTACGTTACATACACCAGTTCGTATGGCTCATCAACTGGAACGACTTATCTGGGTCGTCCGTGGTCTCAGTATGCCATCGTTGTGTATATGAACTCGTATTTGGACAAGCATATCGCCGCTGAGGGATGGCACATTTGGTCCACTAGCAGCCCACAAACTTCGGTACGTACTTTTTCTGAGCGCGAAGACTACTATTTTCTTTTCAAAATTCATTGTAAAACGTCAATTCTAACTTAATATCTAGGATGTGCTCTTTGGTGAATACAATAATATCGGTCCCGGCAACTGGAGCTCTTCGCGAGTCTCGTTCGCTACAAACCTCACCGCAACGCAAGCTTCATCTTATACTTTGAGCTCTTTCCTAGGTACTACGGACTGGATCGACATGACGGCCTATAACTATGTCCCAAGTTTCACTTTGGGTGGTGGTACGCCTACATCAACGGCCACGCCGACACAGTCCTCAGGGGCTGCCGTTTGGGCACACCCAACCAGTGGCACGGTCCCTCCCACAGGCGCTGTCCTTGTCTCACCTGGCGGGTCCGTTGAGGGTTCATACAGCAACCTAACGGCTGCGTTGGCGAGCCTCCCGAGCGATTCGAGTACCCAAATAATCTTCATGTACAGCGGAACATACAACGAGCAGGTGCCTTCCGTCTCAAGTCTGGCCCAGTTATGATTATAGGCTACACTGAAGCCAATCCTGGTCAGACATACGTGGGAAATACCGTCACAATCACGAATGCTCGGGGTCTATCTGTCAGCCCCCTTCCCACCGGTCACAGCAACGCCGAAACTGCCACTATCGCGACAGGCAGCACAAAGATCAGCATGTACAACATTAATGTCATTAATTCTGACAATTTGGACGGTTCGCAATCAAGCTACGTCACCTTGGCCGCTAGTATCTATGGGAACCATATCGGCTTCTACGGCTGCTCCTTCATCGGCTGGCAAGACACCCTGCTCACCGGCGAAAAGACAGGATACCAGTATTACGAAGCAAGCTACACTGTGCTGCCTGTGCAGGAGCTGATGCAAGTGCAAGTGGGGTGGGGTGGGGCACAAGTGTTGTGGAGGGTGGAAGGTAAGGTGGGTAGGTTGGGGAAAGTGGGCTTGTGGGCGACGCGGAAGGCCCACGCGCCGCGGTGAGTATTGTGACCGTGACTGTGACTGTGCCTTTGCGTGCCAAGGGGGGTTGCCATCATAAGTTGTGCTCGTAGAGCCACCAGTGGACGAAGTTGCTGGCACTGGAGTGACAATGCTGTCCCAGTACGTGAGGTCGATCCAATCGGTGCTGTCCATACTGTCGCAAGCGGATACGTGTCGCTGGTAAGCAAGGTACAGTTTTGCCAGGCAACTCGAGCTGCAGCATTGTTCTCCCAGTTACCCGGGCCAGAATTATTGAACTCGGCGAAGGTGATATGGTCGGTATTCGGGCTGGTGGTCCCCCAAACCTTCCAGCCTGACGGGTTGATGATATCGGTCAGGTAACTGTTCTTCACAATCCTACAGCGCTACTGTTGGCTCCTTAGGGGGGCAGTTTAGGCAAGGTAAGGACGTCCGGAGGGGCCTCTGTAAGTTACGGCGAAGCCCCCTGTAGCCCGAGGCAAGGCCCCTGGAGGCCCCTCATTCAATAGTGGTTTCAGCGCCATCGATTTTTGCGACACCCCCTAACCTTCGATGGCCTTTACAGAAGGGCACCACGCTGACCACCACCCTTCTCATGGTGCTGAGACTAGCCTGGACCACAACCTGGATGATCTTCTACGCGCGGCAATGGCTCCTCCTTCAGCGCTGCAGTTGCCTCCCCTGCCGACAGCACGATCGCCCTTTCTAAGGCTGTTGTCGGCCCCTGGAACGGCTCTCTCTCTCCCTCCCTCTACGCCATCGTTCTTTCTAGCGATTGCAGGACTGCCACTGGCACTGCCCCTGATGATGCGAGCATTCTTTTCAGCAACAGCAGGCGCCCCGCCGCAGGATGGCATATAAACATCACAACGCGTCCCCGAGGACTTTTTTTTTCCTCCTCTACACCATCGTCACAGTTCTCCTCAGAGCCCTTCTCGTTCCCGTTCCCATTGGCATCACCAGCATGGTTGAGTTCGAGAGCTTGACTTCCCCATCGGCAAGATCAGCCCCCTCGTCTTAAGAGGATAGAACAAGAAAGGAGACGACTGTCTCTGCTCGTCCTCTCCAGCGCTGCTCCTGTTCTCCTAGTGACGGCAAGATCACCCCTTTTCGACAGTGGTAGCACCGCAGGCCTTCTCAAGGACTTTGCTGTTTCTGGCGGCAGCATCGTTATGAGTCTGGTCTTTGTCGTACTTGTCCTTGTCAACCTTGTTCTCGGCTGGCTCACCATCACCGTCACCGTCGAAGCGGCGGCGAAGAACCGACAAAGGGACGAGACGCTGGTCTCGGGAAAGTTGCCGTTGTCATCACCTTTCCATCGTCAGCAACGTCGTCGTTCTCCTTGAAGCGGGAGAGGAGACGATAAGTGACAGAGAGCCCGTGTCGATCGTCATCGGCCCGGTGTCGTCACCGTTTCAAGGAACAAGAGAACCATTCTCCATGATACAAGCGGTATCACTCTCCCGGAGGCGGTCATCCTCCGAGCAGGGGTGTCGGCGTCGCTGCTTGCCGACACATCTGTTGGCAGTGGCATTTCGAATCACGACGACCTCACCATGTCGGCGCGCCCTACTGACCCGCCCGTGAGTGGCATTCCAACTGAGGTCAACCTCACAGTGGCGGCGCGGCCCAGCCCGCCCGTTGCGACAAACACCCCTGCGATGGGCTCTGATACCAGGGCTACACGAGCCCAATGAGGCTGCTCCAGTCATGGAGATGACTGGTGAGACCACTATCAATGACGTTGCACAGACCGGTGGAGAGAAGAACGGTGACGACGATGAGAGAGAGGAGGCCCCCGTCTCTCGGCCGGCCGTGGCTGCACAAGTCCCCCGAGAGCCTGACCCTTCCTGGCGTTGTGGCTTCTGCTGGCGGCTTCGCCCATCTTTCTCTCCAAAGCGACCCGTCGGTGCCGGTGCCGTCCCTCTTTAGACGGTATTAGACGTATTGACTCCGCTAGTACTATCGGCATCGTCTCACCAGGTACAACGAAGTGGAACAGAGACGAAATTATCGTATTTGCTGGCCTGGTGGCGCTCGGGCTGTTCTCATGCACTGCCTTCTCTGCCTAAGAAGTCGAGAGTAGGTATGATAAAAAAGTCGAGAGTAGGTACGATAAAAAGTCGAGGGTAGGTAGGCTAAAAATTGAGGGTAGGTAGCTTATAAATAAAGTTAAAAGTAGTTATTAATATAATATAGTTTAATATAGTTTATAATTACTTTATATATATAATAATTTTATATATTTTTTATTATTTTTTATATTTTAACTTTTATATAATATAGTTTATAAATAAGTAAGCTACTTAAGTAAGTAAGCTACTTTCCACTTAAACTACTATCTTACTTATTTAATATAGAATTTCTCTATAATAAACAATAGAATCTACTTTAGTTAAAAGCTAAATTATCTTAGCTATCTAAGCTATTAAACAATCTAAAAAATAAAGTATTTAAGTTATAGCTAAAGCTTATAACGTTTTTTATACTATATTATAAGCTAGATTAGATAGCTAACACTTTCGATAAGATTTATTAGCTAATTTAATAAAACTGACGAAATTAAAAGAGAATATTATTTTTATATATATATTAAATAAAATTAATTAAAGGTTTTTCTTTTAAATCTTTAATATTAAAAATATAGTAAATATTCTACTAATAAAATATAGTATATAATATATTAGAAAGTATTAGATAAACAACTTTATAAAACAATAACTAATATTTTAATTATATTTTAATTATATTTATAATTATCAACAAACTTTTTATAAAGATTTTGAAAAAATTAAGATATAGTTTATCCTATCTAGAGGACAATATTATAGCCAAACTTAAGGAAATTATAGTATATAATTATACGCTTTAAGCTAGCAAATTTGTATAGAGGATCAATTGGCTAACTAGACTCTATAGCTTTATAATAATATACAATCACTTAAACCAAACATAGTTTTTACTACGTTTGCTATCGTTATATAATTTAGTTTGTTTACTTCTAATACTAACCTTCTAACCTAAATTCTCTACTATATAACTTTTTTCATACTTATCTACCTTTTTATCTACCTTCTTATCTATCTTCTTATCTACCTTTTTATCTATCTTTTTATAGTTAATCTTCCCCTTTTCTCTTTTCTTTAGAAATAGCGATATAGATTTATAATCGCTATAATATTAAATAGGCTAGAAATCAGTTTTTTTATCTTTATAATGGTTCTAAAACTATTGTAACCTACCTTAGTTGTCGGCAAGATTTAAACTAGAGGGTAAGAGACAAATATCTTTTTTAGATATCTTTCTAACATACTATAAACAAAAGACTATTATAATCGTAAGAATAGTAAAGATATATAAGATTGTTGACAGAAAATAGCTAATAACTATAGTACTAAAGGAAGAAAATAAGTCTATCATAAAGTAATAGAATTTTATATATAAGATGTTAAGTAAGCGATATTATCTTAAGAATATAATAGATGATGATACTCTTACTATCATAGCTACTTAATAATAATAAGCTATAATATAGAGAAAGTATTACTTTTAGTATTATAAAGGCTAAGATCCTTTATAAACACTTAGATTAAGTATACTTACTAAGTAAGAAATTAAATAATATAATAAATCTAATAATAATAATATTAATAAGCTTAAAGCTATTGATAATATAATAGTAGCTATAATGATAGTAAAGGTAGAAATATTATATTGAAAAAAAAGTAGATTATATATATACCCTCTCTTTAATTTAAATACTTCTCTATATTTATAAAAATACTTTTATAAAGAGCCAGCTTTTCCTTACTTTTATAATAGACTATCTAAGCTAAGATATACTATTAAACGCTTACAAAAAGACTAGCTAGTTTGAGAATTTAATAAGCTACTATCTACTTTTAATGATAATCTTTAAGTATCTTCTCTAACATTAGATAATATAGCTATTAAGTATAAGTTTGATTTAGAATTGATAAAGAAGTAAATATAATAGTATCTATACTATAATTGATGATAGTTTGATATTAAACTTTTAGCTAATAGAATTTATAAATATTATTATTATAAAAATGATAAAAAATAGTTTAATAAGCTTTTCTTCTATTTTATTATTAATTACTTTAACTTTGATAATATACTTAACTTCTTACTTACTTTTAAGTTTATAAAGGAGATGATTATTATAAAAGTTTACATTTTTATAAATATATTTATAATAATCTTATTTTACTATCGTTTTTTTTATTATTTATATATTTAGCTAACCTAATCTATTTTTTTTTAGGTTTATAGTTAGTAGTATAAGTATTATAGTCATATTATCTACTTTTTTTATAATGTAAGTAAGATATATAAAGAGCTTTTCTTACTATTAAGAGACTTAAATATTGTCATTCTTTATCTTAAGAACTTTACCTAAGATCTAGCTATAGATTATCAGTTTTATAAGCGGTTTTATATTAGATGGTAGATAGTCTCTATATAGTTTATATTCTTAGCTAGTAACTATCTAGATTATAAAGACTTTATATTAGTTAAAGATAACTTAAGCTAGCTACTAAAAGATAATAGTATCTTTAATAAGTTGACTATCTATAAAGTCGAAAGCTTTGATAAGCTATAAATTGATTAAAGACTTATAGAAGAAGATATATTAAACGAAGATAACTAAGTATACGATAAAGCGACAATCTTAAATATTCTTATAAAAGACTTAAAGGTTATTATAAGGTAGGCTTGATAATAAGGATATAAAGAATGATAAGTAGCTACCGCTAAAGCTTTAGTGTCTAGAGGATGTCTACTATCTTCTGATATTAAGTATATACTATATACCTTTAAGTAAATTTAACTAGTTATAAGCTTTCTTATTCTTTGTCTATCTTAGCCTATTCTTTAAAAGTTTAACTAACTTTATTTAGCTAAGATAATAAGGTATATTATATTAAGATTATCTAAAGTATATAATAAAGTAGAAAGATAATTGCTTTATATACTATCATATGTTTTATTATATTATACTAAATATACTAATATGCTAGTAGATATATAATTATAGTAGATACTTTGTCAATAAATAGTAGTAGACTATATTAACTAAAGCTAACCTATAGAAGGTATTAGAAGATTTTAAATACTTTAAGATATAAACTATCTTAAACTAAATCTTCCATTTTGTTAGTATAATTAAGAGAATCTAGCTTTATTAGTACTATCGATAGTAAAAGTATAAGTCTTTTATATATTATCTTAGTATTTCTAGCGTCTTTATTATACTAAGTTTAGCTAACTTATATTGATAAAGCTTATATTAATATATATTAAAGTTTAAGTGATAGTAAACTATAGATAAGCTAATA